GGGGCACTGCAGCCACTTCCTGAGAGGCGCTCCTGTCCTACCCCGGCCCCGGCCCCGGTGCCCAGGGGCAGAGGGAGTGTGCAGCCCAGAGGACCCTCCTCGGGGCAAATCCCACAGACTGCAGGGCCCCAGCCTGGCTCCTCCGTGTCCTGGCCCAGTGCTGTCCCCAACTCAGGACAGCTGGAAAGTAAGGTCTGTGGTCAGTGGCTCTCTGCTTTTCCACGAAGAGGGGAAAGGCCCCTGTCTCACTGGGGGCAGGCCCAAGTGGGGGACCTCAGGATAGGGGACCTCCATCTAAGGGCCAAATGCAGAGCGGGGCAGGGGGAGGCTCAGGGCGGCTCCCACAGGGGCTGAAGGACCCATGAGAATTTGGTCAGGAGGTATGCCTGGGTGGGAGGAGTGACCCCAAAGGGAGGCGGAGTGTCTGCTGCCACCCCAGTAGCTCTTGGTGCCGAGAGGGGAGGTGGAGACCTGGGTGAGGAAGAAACAACAGGACCCGGCCCCCTGGAAAGGGGTGACAGAAGACGCAGGACAGAGTCCCAAGGGACAGAAGATGCAGGGCTTGCCTACTGGAGAAACCGCCGGCTGCCCATCTGCCCCTGAACGCAGCCCCTGAACTCCCCAGCCGGCCACTTTGCTTTCTTAGAAAAGCATTTTCGTGTCTACGCTGCCATGCAGAACACTCACCGCATACAGTGAGGGGGGCCTTTCTGTTGGTTCAGCTTCTGGAAGGAGCTCAGAGTGTGGAGAGGCCTGGCCAGGAGGAAGGCCCCGACAGGGGCCTGGGGTCCCACCTGCCACGCTGTGTCCAGCCCCACTGGTCATACCACCACCTGCTTCCCAGGGAATGGGCTCCCCAGTATCTGTGGCTCGCAGAGCCCTCAGCTGGCAGCCCCTTTCCTGCCCACAGCTGCTGGCGGCCCTGCCAGAGGTTCTGAGGAGACGCAGGGGAAGACGCCCAGGTCTCACCTGTGTAGGCGATGACGGTGACCAGCAGGGCCACGGCTGGCACTCTGTAGACGGGAAGGCTATTCCTGAGGCGGAGGAGGGTCAGATGGAAGACGAAGGCGCAGGCGCCCTCCACCAGCGCGCCGTGGGGGACGGTCGTGCGCAGGGCCGAGCTGCAGTGTTCGGCCATGAGGTTCTGCAGGACATGCAGGTCACTGAGCTCCCAGGCCCAGTAGAGCCGGGTCAGGGCGCAGGCCGCCCGCATGCCCAGCTCCTGGGCTGCCAGCTTGAGCAGCGTGCCGGGCAGAGAGGCCTCGGCCAGGAGGAGCTCCTGCAGGGACACGGTGGGGTTGGCCGAGGCCCCTTCGAAGGTGGCCCCGTGTGCCAGGAAGAGCAGGAACAGCAGGGTCAGCAGCAGGTCGGGCCCGAAGCCGCCCGCCCAGGGGCCCAGCTCTGCCAGCATCCGCATCTCCAGGCAGCAGGCCCCCAGCTGGGCCGCGCCCGCCGCCTCCAGGGCAAAGCTGACGTAGGCACCTTTGGGAAGCAGGGCCTTGGACACCCTCCTGGCCGCCTGGCACAGGGCAATGGTGGCCAAGAAGAACGAGAGAGACACGTTCAGACCAGCCATCGGCTCCAGGGGCTCTATGGAGCCAGACTGAGCAGGGAACCTGAGCTGACGTATCGGGGCTGACCCACCCCAGGACCCAAGGGCGGGGGAGCCGTGGAAGCGTCCATCTGGGCTGGCACTCCTGGGAACGCCACACCTGCACCCTCACCTCCATCCCACCTGCTGCAGACCCAGGAGCAGAGCCAGGAACGCCCACAGCAGACCGGCCCTCAGCCAGGCGTCTTCCCCAGGGCGTGAGACACACCGGGACACGCACCCCACTCGGCCAGCCCAGGGCTGCAGCCTGGCCACAGCTCTTCAAAGCCTCCATCGAGCGCCATGCCACACCCAGGCTCCCAGCTCCATGCTGGCAGCTCCCTGTGCCTGGGCTGAGCCCCCACGTGGGCGGGTCCCTGGCTCTGCCTGCACTCTGGGTCACATGCCACCAGTTCCCTGCATGGAGGCAGGCATCTGTGGGGCCAGGTGTCCCCCACAGGAAGCCCTGGGGGCTCCACGAGAGCTGCTCTGGGCGCTCAAAGAAGCTGAACCAGCAGAAAGGCCCACCTCACTATACGCGGTGTGTTCTGCAGGGCAGCGTAGACACATAAAGTGCTTTTCTAAGAAAGCAGAATGGCCGGCTGGGGAGTTCAGGGCCTTCGTTCAGACCCCGGGCCCTTGGCACGTAGGGGTTGCCTGGGAACACCTCCCCACCCCTACCATGTGCCAAACGGACCCCTTCCTGAGGACACATTGCTGGGCCACGTCTCTCCAGTCCAGAGGGACCTGGGAGTCACTGCCATCAAGATTGGTTTGGATTTCCTTTCTGGGAGTCCAGCTGAGCATGACGTCACCTGGCCGAACCCCAGCAGGCCCTGGGGCCCGCATGCTGCCCCGGTTCTGGAACTGGTTCCCCAGAGCTGTGGCAGCGCCTTCCACGGGCAGGGTGCACGCAGCGCCCCCTTGTGTTCATCCCACCGGAACCTGTTTCCTGGGGAACAGAGGCTTCCCTGTCCTGCTCACTTCCCCTCCCTTCCATTCCTCGTTTTTATTTTTCTAATCCAATGCCTGTGCCTGCCAGACTCTGCTTGCACAGAAGGGAGCCTGAGACCCGGGAAGGAGAACCCACAGCATGGAGGACAAGGAGCTGGCTCTTTTCCTGGTTGTCCCCAATTTTGAGGGCCAGGACTTTTACGGAGAGGGTGAGGTTAACCCCAACAAGAGTTCCACCTTGGGCAGCCCTGTAGGAAACCCACCCACCATCCCCCTTGCCCACCAGACCACACCCCGGATGGCAGACAGACCCGGGCAGACTCTAGCCTGGGGGGTGCGAGCTGCCCCTGTCCTTTCCTTGTTCGAGGCCCAGCCCCCTCAGAAGAGCGGGGGGACATTCTGAAGCCACAGAGACCTAGAGACTGGACACAGGCAAGCCAGGGTTCCCTCGGGGACCATGTGGAGGGTGTGTCCATGCTGGGGCCTCCATCGTCAGCACCCACTGGCCTTCTGTCTGTCCCTGTAACTCCTGCTCCCACCAGGTGGGATCTGGCCCTCCGCCTCCACGTGTCCACGCAGCACACAGAAGGCACCGTCCGACAGTCCACTGTGAGCACACCGACCTCCACACGGGGGCTCAGGGACTCACGTGGGCAATCAATGTCGACCCATTTTTTTATTTTTAGGTACTTTTTGATTTTTAGATAAAACTTAAAAGGAAGCTCATCAACCTTCAGCGGAAACCTCCACCCTCTGACAAACACATGAACCCGGTAACCACGCCGTCACCCAGGAAGGGGGCATTTCCACCGTCCCCGGGCCTCGCCTTCCTTCCTCGTGCCGCCCACCCACTCTCCTGGCTCCTGTTCCCGCAGGCCCGAGTTTCTCGTGGACAAGGAACCGTCACCGGAGCCCGGGTCTGTCCGTGAGGGGCACTGCCCTTCTTATTGCTGAATAGAATTCCACGTAAGGAAGGACCACGCTGGTGTGTCCATTTCTCCGATTGAACATTTAGGTATTTTTTTCTTTTGTTTTTTGCCCGGTGCGAACAAAGCTGCCACAGCGCTGCCTTGGCAGCCGTGGTATGTGACACAAGAGCAGCGTGTGAGACGTGTGGGCTGTGAAGAAGGTTGGTGTAAAGGTTCACACACACTGTCTACCCTACCCAGAGTTCACGTCCCTTTACTTATGGTTTCGACCGTATTTTCCTGATGACAGAGGATGCTAAGCACATTGCTGTGAGCTGATTGGTCATTCAAATACGTTTTGCTCATTTTTTATTAAGTGTAAACCTTTTTATTATCTACTAGTGACCCAACGTGCGAAATCACGCGAGACCCGGAACCCCGGGGCTCCTCAATGGATTGCCCCAAAGAGGTAGGCTGGAGCCGGGGGTCTCGCCTCCATGGTGCGGAGCCGCGGGACCCCCAGGCCTTGTTGTATGGAGCAGCTGCCAGGCCCTGCCTCCGCGACACACACACAGCATCAAGTCCTCGCCCACCTGCGTGCGCCTCATCATGCACGCAGTCCCACCCACCCGCACGCGACTGCGGCAGATGCAGCCTCCTTGTAACGGCGTGAGGGCATCGCGGTGTGACAACCACCTAGGCCAGTGGTCGGCAAACTCATTAGTCAACAGAGCCAAATATCAACAGTACAATGATTGAAACTTCTTTTGAGAGCCAAATTTTTTAAACTTAAACTATATAGGTAGGTACATTGTTATTAATTTAATTAGGGTACTCCTAAGGCTTAGGAAGAGCCACACTCAAGGGGCCAAAGAGCCGCCACATGTGGCTCGTGAGCCGCAGTTTGCCGACCACGGACCTAGGCTATTATTAGTGTGTGTGTTTGTATGTGTGTGTGTGTATATATATACATATACATATAAAAGCTTAAGCTACTGTTCGACCATTCAACCAGTAGCTATGATGCACACTGACCACCAGAGGGTAGATGCTGACTGGTAGGTTAGCTTGACTGGTAGGTCTGGCCAATCGGGTCTGGGCAAGACGGGCCAGACACACCCTGAAGCCCTCCCGTGATCCCTCCCTGACCCCGATTGTGCACGGGTGGGGCCTCTCTGCTTGGCCTGTGCCCTCTTGCAATCCGGGACCCCTCGGGGGATGTTGGAGAGTCAGTTTCATCCCGATCCCTGCAGGCCATGCTGAGAAACCCCACTGGTGCACGAATCCGTGCACTGGGCCTCTAGGTGAGTTATAATGATGCTTCATGTATTCTTATATATTCTGCATACAAATCCTTTGTCCTAACCTTGTTTAACAAATATCTTCTCCCAGTTCCTGGCCATTTTCTTAGTGATGCATTTCAATAAGTCCGTCTAGAAGTGTTCCTGTTTTGTGTTTTACATTTATGTCTAAGGTCTATTTTGACCTAACTTCTCAACCTTTGTGAAAAGTCTAAGATCTCCCACCGGTGACCCGATGTGCAAATAACACAGCAGAGGCCCGCGCTTGGAGCTGCGTGAGGAACCACGTTTATTTCATAACTGGACAGAGCGTAGGTGCACACACAGTACGGGAGCCTAGAGCTAACACTCGGGGTCAGGACGTTGGGGAACTGGAGTCATTACGGCAGGATGGGTTATGGTGCAGGGGTGGGTGTGCCACACAACCACGTATGTACAAGCCACAGGGAGCCCCGGGGACAGGCAGCTACAGGAAGCACAGGCCCAGGAAGAAGCCACAGCCTGTTGTCTGGAGGACCAGCGTGGCAACCTGCTCACACCTCCCCGAGCACTTCGCCACACCCGCCTGAGGTGGGTCCGCCTCACACAGCCGCCTGGGTGTGTGTGTGCATGTGCATGCGTGTGTGGCCGAAATGAAACATTGCCACCTCACGAGTGGTTATTCAGAACAGGGAGTCCTTGCAACTACTGAGCATCTCACACACCCTGGACACCAGCCAGGTTATTGGAACCCACGGCCGGCCGGCCGAGCCCAGCATCCCCCCTGGGACCTCTCCCTAGAGCCTCTGGAAGGAACTCATACTCCACTGGGGGGACAGAGAGCGGATCCGGACAAGAATGGTGTCTTTCAAACAAAACGAGGCCGCAGCCTGAGCAGCATCAAGCATTCAAACCAAAACCACCAGAGTTGGCTTTCTGGATCTCTCTCTCCTCCCTACTCAGCGGGAACAGAAGCCACACCAGGCCTGACTTAGCTCTCTGCACCCCAAAGGGTGCAAACCCTTGGGGGCCCCCAGATGAGCCTCGCTTGTCACAGATGTGGAAACGAAGTCCCGGTTTGATAAAGGACTTGTCTCAGCTAACATGACACATGGAGGTTTGGGCAGGGCGGGCACAGAGACCAGGCCTCCTGACTCAGCGTGGGTTTCCTCTCCAGCCACTCTGGGTGTCTGGACTCGGACCTAGGACCTCCCGCTACAGCAGGCCCGGAAGGGACGCCAGGTCCACGCCTGGCTCCTCATCACTGCCGAGACGGCCCAGGCCAGGATGAAACGGTCCCTGGAAGCCTCCATGGCAGGGGAGGCTCCTGAATTTGGGGAGATTCCGAAAACCCTCTCGGGGGCCCCTTCCCTCGGCCCTGCCGAGGACACAGGTGCTCTGCAGGTTGGCTGGCCTCAGACACCTGTGCCCTTGTGCAAAGCCCTCAGACCCTCTTGGGGCCACGCCCTCAGGCTGGCTGACCTGAGTGGGCCGTGGCTGGGCCCTGGCTCTCTCAGCACTTGCCCCTCCTTGCTTCTCCCCGCCACGGGCTGTCATAGAAGCCAGTGTTTGTCCCAGACTAGCTCCTCTCCTGTGTGTCTCAGCCCATCACCTCCGGGAACACCTGTGGAGGTGAGCACTGTCCCTGCTTCTGGACAATGTGTGCCCAGACGCGGTCCTGGGCCCTGACGCTCGCTGGCGGCTTCCCCTCAGGAGCACTGTCCAGGCACAGGGCTGTCAGCCTCCTGCTGGGCTGGTGTAGGCTGGCGGGCACACACAGCTGCCACAGGGTCCGCCCTCCTGCATCCCTCATCTGCGGCCAAGCTTGAGGGGCCTGAACAACTTCCCCAAAGGAAAACCTCACTGGAACCTCGTCCCTCGGACGAAGCCCACACCTCACATCCCCAGAGGAAGGAGCTGGGGCACCTCTGGCCTCAGTGGCCGGAACCGCGAGAATGTCCATGTGTCATGTCAGCACCACGCAGGACAGTGTGGGTCTCAGAACCACTGTCTCCAGGGTGAGCTGGAGTCCTCCAAGCCAAGTGGAAGCTGGTGTCAGTGAGCGGTGCCCAGCAGGGGCTGGCAAGGATGGAGGGAGTTGCCAGAGAAAGCTGTGGACCAGCAAGGCTGGGCATGAACTGGGCCCAAGTGAAGCCGCTCTGCTGGGGAGAGTTTTGCAGTGTTTTTTTTTCTTGAGCTTAAAAAGAGGCCCAATGTGCCTCGGGTGTGGGAACAGGTCCCAGGAGACCCCCTGTGGTTTCTCTGCTGGGTTTAGGGCCTAGACAGAACCCTCGGCCAGACTCTTGGCCTGGGCTGACTCCTGTCCTGCCCTGGCCAACCCTTGGGCACAGGGTCTGCAGAGAGGCCAGAACAAGAGAATGGCGGCACATCTGATGCAGAAGGGGGAGGAGGAGCCCATGGCACTCACAGAACTCTCTTCTCGCGGAGCAAAGAGGGGAAATCTCAGACTTTCTTCCCAGGAGCAACCTTGAGCTCACTCCATTTCTCACAGCAACTGGAGAGGCTGTACCTCAAGCCCCTCGCTGCCTGGACCATCACCCTGGACCACCTCTAACCCCAGCCAGCCTCGCCCTACCTGCCTGGACACACAGCACGAGCGTGGGCTCCTGTCCCTCCTCCCCGGCCCTGCCAGCATAGCCCCTGCAGCCCTACCACTGCCTCACCTCCCACACCCTCCCAGGAGCTGCATTGGCACTGCTGGGAGTCACAGCTCAGGCGGCTGCTGTGCAGGTTGGATGTGGCTGCATCTCCTGCTAGAAGGGACACACGCCACCTTCTGTGCTGCTGGGACTTCAGGCATCAGGTCTCCCTGACTCAGGCACACACCCCAGGACGAGGGTCTGCCCCATGGGCAGCTGGGGAGAGGCCTCAGGCAGGTGGCCCAGTGGCACCAACCTCACTGTGGTCTTCCGAGGCAGCTGCCCACCCTATCTGTCCCTAAGAGGCTTGGGAGATTGGTGTGGGAACAAGCGGGAACAGGTCCATCTGAATCCTAAAGGTCGTTAGAAATAAATACTTATAAATAGAATACAGTCTTATAGTTAACTTCTGAGTGGACTGCTTCCACGTCGCTAACTACTGTATATTAATTATAAGTCTGTCTATGCTTAAAAAAATATGAGAACGTCACTGATGCCCCTGACTGGTGCCCTCTGGTCTCTCCAGCGTCTCCCAGCTCTTCCCACCCTCCCCCCCCGGGGCACAGTCTCAGAGAAGGAATGATGACAACACGGCCTCCACTGGGAGCATGACAGTCATGTGGTGCAGGTCCCCGGCCAGAGTCAGGCTCGCTGGCCCAGCACAGCGTCCCTGGGAGGAGGGGACTTGTTGGCTTGTCTGGTGGGAAGGACTGGGTGGCAAAGACAGACGGATGGTGAGAGGGGGCAGGCCGGGCCTGCTGGCTGTCTGGAGGGGGGTGTCTTCCACTCAGACCCGCATCTGGGCAGACCTCCTTCTGGAAAGCTTGGACCTGCAGGAGGGTTGGAAGAGAAGCAGAGCTCAGGGAGGACGGAGCCTGCAGCTCATTGACCCCAGACCCCGCTGGTTCCCTTGGCAGCCGAGAGACATGTCACCGTGACCCCTGTGAAGTCACGGAGGGAGGGGGGCCTGGCTATTCCCTACACAGAGGTTTCTTCCCTACAGAAAAGTACGCCTTGGTGGCAGGTGAAGCTTGAAAATTTGGGGAGTTTATCCGCTCCTTGAGCAGCAAGGACAAACATGAACACCGACGCCCCTGCAGATGCCCCCAGGCCTGCACCCTCCCTCGTCCCAGCAGAGGTGGAAACACCCATCCAGCCTGAGGTGGCCCTACCGTATGGTCCCGGCCAGGAGAGGGTTGAACGCGTACAGCCAGTCGTGCATGTCCTTGTCGCTACTGGCCTGCAGCAGGATGCCGCGGTGCTCCGTGCACACGGCGAACGTGTGGGGCGTCTGCAAAGCACCGCACTGTGAGAGGCACCGCCCCTCCCTGGGGTCAGCACTCAGCCAGGGAGGAGGGAGCAAGAGGGGAGACCCACAGGATGGGGGCGCTGACAGGGCTATGTGAACTCAGCAGTGCGCACGGCCTGGCCCGGAAGGTTCTGCAGGACACCCCTCTATTCTCATGCCCCAGGGCCCCTTGCCACTGCTCTGTGTCCCCACCTCACGGGCCAAGGCTCCTTCCCCCGCCCCCCCCCCCCCCCGGGACCCTGGCACAGCTGTGGTCCAGATACGTCCACTGGGCCCAGAAATCCTGGCGTCCCTTATTCTCAAGCTTGAGCCCTTGGCATCGTGGTTTGAGTTCCCACCCCCACCCCAGGGAATCAAAAATCACCTAGTGCCACTGTAGTGGCCGAGGGAAGGAGTCGGGGCTCCCAGCACCCACATCCATAGCTGCGCTTGCTCAGAGGAGCAGGGCAAGGCTAGGGGGTAGGGGGCTGGACTCCTGGGCCCACAGCACTGCTGGCCTGTGTGGCTCGGCCCACCCCACCATGGGCATCCTCAGGAGGGGACGGGGTTGTTGGCCCTGGGATGGGAGAAGGTTAATGCTTGTCCCATCATCACCACTGGTTGCCACCCGGACAATGAGCCCCATGGGTGGTAGAGTCCTGGGACAGGAAAGGCTGCCCGGCTCCTGCCCTCTCCTTCCCTGCCTGGGACTCAGTGTCCTGCCAGCCCAGGGCCTGCCCATCCCATTTCCGTGTCCGCACCTTGAGCATGGCCTGCTGGTCCTCGCTGTACTCCACCTGGGCGGTGGAGAGGTTGAGCACAAACCTCTCTACAGTGTCCTTGTCGTTGTTGTACATGTAGGCGTAGGGCCGCCGCACCACCACGTAGCGCTTGGCCCAGCCGGCCGTGTGCGGCTCCAGGAAGTGCAGGTAGCCCTTCTTGGAGACGATGGGGCTGTGGGAACAGGAACGTCTGCTCGTCCACACCCTCCTGGCAGCCAGTGGGAGGCCCCAGCTCGGAGGTTCACTGTCCACCATGAGCCAGGTCCCCAGCCGTGCCGCCAGCGGGCCTCCGAGAGGAGCAGCCAGGACAGAGGCACCTGGGGACCTGGCAAGACCCCAACCTGGCAGGCCAGAGACCAGAACCACCCACCCGTCTCTGAGCCTCGGTCCCCAGCTGGAAGATGGAAAAGCGTAGGAAGGCTGCAGCTGCCCTGGCCTGTCACGCCGTAACCCATGACCGCACCCACCAACAGTGGTGAGCTCAGGACATGTGCATGGTGGCCACACTGGTCATTCGCAGACACATCACCACCAGGGCCCTGCTCCCCAGCCCTAGGTCAGGGGGCAAGGCTGGCCGGTGACCTGCGCACCTGACCCGGACCTCCTGGATGTCGGGAACCAGCGGGCGCTGAGGCTCCTTGTCCAATTCTGTGGCCCGAGCAGGGGAGAGGATCTTCTTGGAATCAGCCTCTGGCACATTCTCGGGCTCCGGGCTGGCCGGCCGGGAGCTGGGCTGCAGGCTCCTGGGGGAGAGGAGGGACGCTGCTGCCCTTCACTGGGCCCAGAACCACCCTCCCCAGGCTCCTGATGGGGCCTCATGCTCTCAGAGCCGCTGTGGCACCTCTGCTGTCTGACGGCCACACCCACAGTCTGGCCCACCCACCTGATTCCAGGATCGTGCTGGACACCGCGGGGAGGGGTCAGCTGTGAGGGGCTCCACACCTCTCTCCCGTGGTGCTCTCTGCCCCTCCCCCTTCACCCCATAAAGGTGGCTGTAGCCACTCGTCATCCCCCAAATCGAGTTGAAAGAGACACAAGTCTCTTAGGGACCGTCTGGCCCATGGCCCACGCCAGGCCCTAGGACTGCACCTGGTGGCCCAGGAGGCCTGTCCCAGGACGACAGCCAGAGGATTCAACACCATTTTTTTTGTTTTTAAGAAGAAATTTAGGAACCGCCAAGGGATTTGAAATTGGATGATCAGACATAAGCGGCGTCAGCAGTGTGTGGGGAGGGTCTCTTCCCAGCTCAGCTCCAGCGCCGCGTGTCCCTGTCTGCAGGAGAGGGCTCAGGTTTTTCTCACTGAGCATTTTATGAGCGCCGCCCCATGAAAAGGGTCTCTTGTTTTGTGCTATTTTGACCCGTTCCTGCTTTTATTCAGGGCTGGTTTTAAATGTATGCGTCAGCAGAACATGGCCTCAGAAAGAAGGTTAGGACATCACGCTCACAGGACGCTGCGGGGTGGGCACAGGACGCTGCGGGGTGGGCACAGGGCAGACTCCGGGGGCAGTGCCTGCAGACCCCACGCCACGAGGGCTGCCCTGGATGTCTGGCTACCCCGAGTGACTTGGCCACCCGCGCCCCCTTCTCTGCACTCTGTGCCTGAGTCACGGCTATCGTTGTCGCTAGTCTTGCAGAGGGGGAAGCTACGCAGGAGCCTGAAGGCTCACTCACCTCAGGTCGGCTGCTCCATACCGCCCTTCGACCAGAGAGGGGCAGGTAGAGGAGGGAGTGAGCGTGGCCACCCCCAGAGGGGACAGGGACGTGTCCTGGAGCAGTGTGATGGACATCTCAGAGAGCTGTGGAGGAGAGAGAGGCTTTTTCAGGGGACACAGGGAGGGAACAGTCTCGTGGTGGGGACACCAATGCAGTGGCTGATTCCTGCACCTTTGCTGGCATTTGAACTCCCATTTAGGGCACCCCCACCCTCACTGCAGGTACCTCCCACCCCCTCCCAGCCCCACCAGGGACTCATGGCTGTAGGGCTTCAAAGAGCATCGAGGACCACACTGGGTGGGCTGGGGAAGGTGCGGCTGAGCCAGACGTTAGGACGTGCACCCTGAGGACCATTGGGATTGGCCCCCCCAGGCAGAGGGAGAGGCCAGCACGGCAGGCTGCGGGGCAGGGAGTGAGGACCCAGGACGGCTGGAGTGCCATGGGACACTGGCGTGGAAGCCATGAGCCAGGTGGGGGCTCGGGGCCTGACTCGGTGCCCACCTTGCTCTCGCTAGCGCTGATGCAGACGTGGCTGTGTGTGTACTCTCTGTTGAACGTGTGCATGAGGAGGCGTAAACACTGCAGGGACAGCAAACACCCAGTCAGGAGTCTCCTGGGACCAGGATCGGCCGAGGGCTCCGCCCCCAGCAACACAGAGACTGGCCCAGGTGCCCGGCACTGCAAGTCAAGGTGGGAGCACCTGCGGGCCTCTAAGAAGACGGGGCAAGCTGGGGAAGCCTCCCCAGGCAGGACTGGGACTGGGCGAAGTCCAGCTCGGTGGCCCCAGCCGCAAAATGGGCTGGGATTCGGGCGGTCAGCTCCCCATCGATTTCGGTATTTAAGAGAAAGAGAGGACATGCCACTGCTCAGGGAGGAGGCTGTAAAGGGCTGCCAAATTCCAGAGTGGGTGCGGTGGGGGCTGTGGGCAAGGGGACTCTATAGACCCCTCATCCTCCCAGCTCCAGGCCCTGACAGGACCCAGCACCGACAAGGCCGCATCACTGGAGCTCTGCAGGGGCTGGGTCATGGCCGTGCTGCCCACAGGCCAACTGCACAGCTGCCTACCTTGACGGCCAGCTCCCGCTGCCTCTCGTTGGGAGTTTCCGGGGGCGACGCTCGGCCGTCAGCGGAGAGTGGAGAGGAGGCGCTGGACAAGCTGTGGGACTCCGAGTCCTCGCTGGAGGCCGGGGACAGCGTCTCGGGGACGGGCCGCTGGGTGGTCTCCAGCTTCTCCCGCAGCAGCAGGTAGTGCCGGGTCTTCTCGACCTGCACACGAGAGCACGCGTGGCCTCACCTGCTGCACTCGAGGACGAGGGCAGGGCGGGCAGCCCGCTGAGCACCAGGGCCCAGGTCAGATCCTGGGAAAGCAAAGCGACCTGAGGCCACGCTGCTGACGGGGAATCAGCTCCTCCCGTGCCCTGCAGCCAACACGCTGCCCTCCTCCATCCTGGCCTCCCGCCCAGCCTGTGCCAGCCCCAAGCGGATGGACACTCGAATTCCGACACGAGCATCCGGCAGGGCCCAGGGGGTGGGTGCGGGCCTCTGCTGCCTGCTGTCCACAGCTGCTGGTCACTGGGCCCCTGACTTAGCAACAGAGGGCCTTGCCCACCCCGATTCCTGGTCTCTGTCTGCAAGCGGACAGCCCTCCGCAATTAGGTCCGTGAGAGCAGTGTGAGTGCCCTCGCTCTGTCCTGGGGTGGCCTGGGACCCCCGGGGTCTGGCATAGACGCACCTCCTGCAGCAGGCTCAGCTTCTCCAGCTCCCACTGGTGGTCCAGGATAAGGCTGTCACTGCGGGGCCTCCAGCCCGCCAGGTTCTCCTCACCCCGCACGTAGGCCACAGACGTGTCCAGCACCCGACGGCGCCGCCGCTGCATCCCTGAAAAGGGTCACCTGTCTGACCATGTCCCTACCGGGGGTGCAGGGACAGGGCCCTGGGGCAGCTCCCCCTCCCCTAACCCTTGGTCCACCCTCAGAGCCACCCTGGGCTCGCCCAAGGAAAGTCATACAGCATCCGTCCTACGGGGGTTAGAGCGCGAGATGCCCTCTCTTCTGCCGGCCTTCCCATTGCTGCCTCGCCCCTCCCTGTCCTCCAGCCCCTCAGGACAACCTTGGAGAGGCCTGTGCTTCTCACAGGGAAGGAACCCCCTAATTGGCAGCTTCGCTGACGTCACCTGGAGTGACCCAGAGGACCCCAAGTGACTCGCAACTAAGTGCCACGCCGCCTGGCCTGCCACAGAGAGCAGGACAGACACCTACCTGGGCTGCCCGCATCGGCCACGTGGCACAGGCTGAGGTCATAGACACCAGTCACACGGTTGCTGTTGGGAGCAGAGGGGGACATGCTGTCACTAAGCACGGGGATGCCCGGGACCAACTCTCACCACCATCAAAGGCACATTGGGCACCTGCCCTGCCCATGCAGGTGGCCTCCAAGGGGGAGCTGGGTGCCAGGCCCCCACACTACAGCCTTACTCGGACAGTCCCCATCTCAGACCCCCTTTTCCCTAGGACTGCCGATTCTGCCAGGGGCACCCACCAACCCCTCTTGTGGACCTCTCAGATGGCTGGTCGTGGCCAGCCCAAGGCCACTGAGTCCTGACCCCCACACTCCCTCCTCCCACTGTGCCCAGAAAGGCCTGGACATGGGGGGTCTACGGGACAGAGCATGTGGGGAACCTCACTGCCTTGACACTGTCCCCCCAGAGTGCAAGGAGCGGTGGGAGTGGGAGAGGCACATCTGGTTCTAGAGTCTGACTCTCAGGTGCTGCCAGCCTCCATTCGAGTCCCCTCCCAGCCTGCCCACGCCCCCCACCCCCGCATTTATCCAGCCTCCCCCATGTGCAGGCGAGGGGCCCTGATGGCCCAGACCCTGTGGCCCCCGGGAAAGAAGGTCACCTGGTGGTGGGGTGCAGTGTGGCACCCTAACATGCCATTGGTGATCCACACGTGCCCCCTGGCTTCCAACAACCCCAACATCGGGGTGAGGAGAAAGGCCGAGAGGAGGGGGCCAGCCAGAAGCGGACAAGCTGGGCTCTCGTCAGCCTGTGCCCGAGCATCCCAAGCAGTCCGGTCTTTGGGTGGCCAGGGTGCCCGGCCCACTCCAGCAGCTCACCTCTCCGAGGACCGCAGGCTCCCGCTGCCGAACAGGTTTCGGATGGAGCGCGAGGCGGGCAGCTTGGCGTCTCGGGAGTAGAAGACCATGCAGAAGTCCTTGGTGATGACGGCCGGCTGTGCACAATTCTCCATCTGTGGGGACAGGGAAGCAGGGGCTCAGGCAGAGGGACACGCCCTCTAACCTCCTGGGGGCAAGAGCCACGGCACTGACCACAGCCCAGGCCTCACTGGGCCCCGCGTGGCCCCACAGCAGGGGGGAGAGTCCCTGCTCCTCGCTGGAGCGCCTCCCGGCAGAGGCAGCGGGCCCTGCCTCCCAGCGCTGCCGAGGGCCAGTTTCCATACAGAGGCCCCGAGGGTCACCATCGATCCAAGACACGCTGCACAACTCGTCTGTGAGAATGTACCCACGCGGTGTGTCTTACCCGCCACAGACCACATCACGGTGGCGGGTGTGGTGTCATATGCAGCTGCTCTTTGTGTTCCTGAAGCTCAACTATAGCTCTGACAAGGCCGATGGGCACTGGGCACTTGTCTGGGCAGAGCCATTACAGATGGAGGAGTAGGCTCTGAGGGGGGCAATGCCCTCACCCTTGATGCTGACCCCAAACTTCCAGATTCCTGGCTACCATGCCCACTAGATTCGCCCAGGCTCCCAGCCTGCTCCTGTGTGTCAGGCCCTGGGGATGGGGAGGAGGCTTCTGTTTATGAGCTGCCTGGAGCATAGATGCCACCTGGCCACACCGAGAGCCCACACAGTAGAGACGCGGGTGGGCTGACAGCACTGCGGCTCGAGGTGCATGGGTGTCGCGAGGACTTGGGGAGACAGCAGGGTCGTGTGGGCTTGTCCAGTGCGCGCTCGCCCTCCTTGCCCTGGGCAGGCACCGCTGGCTCAGGGGACAGGTGATTTCGGTGGTGTGCCTGGGCACAGGAGCCTTGCCTCAATGTAAGCAGAGACGGTCATGTAGATCTTCTCTCTGTATGGGGTGACGCGGTTCAGCAGGAGGGAGTTGTGCATGGAGCTGTCCCACGCAGCCTCGAACTGGTAAAAGGTCCTGGCGGGGAGCAGAGAGAAGGTAAGAACGATATGCAGGCCACACCGGGCTGGGGTGGGGACATGCAGACAGACAGACAGACAGAGACATGTGGCGACCCGCAGGGAGTGTCACTGGGGTCACAGGTCCGGAGGACTGGGGGCAGTGTCCAGGAAAGACAGTCCCCTCCTTACTCAGGACTGAGGGGGAGGGGGCTCCAGATGCCACCAGCAGGGTGTGCCCAGCTGTCACCTCCACTGTGGACGAAGGGTGGCATGTGGTAGCCCACAGCTCTCAAGCTGAGAGCAGGGAGGGTGGGGACAAGGAAAGAGGGGAACGACTACAAGGGTGGGGACAGGGCGGGAGCCTGGGTCTGAGTAAGGAGGTGCCATGGTCTCTCCTTGGACCCTAAGGAACCTGTCCCAGTTTGCAAAACCCTCCAGGGCCCACCTCCTCCATGACCGACTCGCCCCTGGGAGAGGAAGGGCCCTCGGGGAGGATGCTGGGAGTGGAAACCGGGCGGCCAGGTGCAGACAGCGCCACTGCCCACTGCGGCCAGACTCTCCACTCAGGCAGAGCAGGCTGAGGCCTCTCTGCCTCCATCTCCAACCCGGAAAGATAATGAGCAGAGCATGAGCCAGGGGCCGGCAAACCCCTTCCCGGGTGGGGGCAGCTCAAGCCATGGACGGCAGAGCTCCTATAGTCGTGCCCGCATATTGGAGGTGGGGAATGTGCCTCAGTGCCCACTGTGGCCGCCCGTGGGCCCTGGCAGTGCTGCACAGCCCCCTGCCTCACCCGGTTTCCATCCAAGCATCTTCACAGAGACACAGCTGAGGAACACGTCAACACAACAGCCGGGCAGTGGCACAGGCCCAGGAGTGTGGAGGGTGCCTGGGGAGCCAGGCCGCGAGGGGCATGGGCAGCGCCTCCGCTGCCCTTCTCTCTGTGGCACCGCCCAGGGGCGCGGGGCTAAGCAGTGGGAGGGGGCCGGGCCGTGTCACATAGGTCACTGAGGACAAAGATCCAGGGGAAGGGATGTGAGGACAGCGGGCGACAGAGGGGCAGAGAGCGCGGGGAGACATCAGAGGAGAAAGGAAATTGAAAAGCAGCGGGGGAAGCACCAAGCGAGTGCGGAAGAGAGTGACTGTACCTAGTGTCACTTCCGAATGAAACGCTAAAGGCGAGGCAGGCAGGACACACGTACACACACAGAAGAGATTCATATGTCAGAACAAGCGCTGTCGCCCGCCCGGCACAAGCTAACGGGCACGGGCCACACACCACTCCAAGCATCACCCGCAGTGTCTGCAGGGAGAGCCTGGGTCTGTCCCCTGCAGGACCAGGTGGGCGTCCCTGGAGCTGCGGCCAAGACCTAGGGACGCCGTCCATCCTGGGGGGCCCCAAACACCCAGGCTCTGTAGGGCCACGCCTGCAGTCCCCAGACTGTCCAGCTCCAATGCCATGGCATAGCCGCCTGGCCTTGGCCTATCGGCAGACCCGTCTCCCTGCCTCAGAGCTGCCTGGTGGGTGACATGAGCTGTTACTCGAGCAAGCGCACTGCCTGAGGCCTGGGTGGCGCACGTTCGCATCACTGAGATTATTACTAGAGCCCCCCCCCGCCCCCCGGAACCCAGCCTGGGGCTGTGGGAAGCAAGCCCACTGGACACGAGGCCCCTCGGAGACGCTCCTGGTGAGAGGCCCTTCATCAGGCTAGATCGTGGCTTTGTCCTGATCGGACACTGGTGACCTAGAATGTCTCCAGAACCTGACTGCTGGGTCTCATAGGCAGGGCGGGTGGTGGGAGAGGCCCTCCTGGGCCTTCTACTGCCCCATCACCCAGGTGCCAAGAAGGCCAACCGGACCAGGGTCCAGTCTGGCACAACCATGATGCTGCCCCAGCCCCCATGCCATCTCCTGCAGACCCCCCTTCAGCGTCTCCATGTACCATGGATAGCAGACCCTGGAGCCCAGGCAGGGAGGGTTCTGGACACCCGTCCTGAGCCCCAGTTCCTGAGGCCTCTGCAGAGGGGGTCTCCCCCAGACCCCAAGTGAGAGTCAGCAACGGCGCAGGTGTGTGCAGGGTGGGGCAGGTGGCAGAGTGACAGCCACAAGGGATGCCCCAGGATTGCAGGGCACAGCATGGCAACCAAGGACAGCTGCCCTTCAGTCACACGGCAGGAACACAGACCCAGAGAGGCCACGAGAATGCAGCTGGGAGGCTGAGGAGGCCATGCCAGGGCCCTCACTCACGAGCAGCACAGGGTCCTCTCAGGACCTCTCTGGACACCAGGTCACCCAGGAGGGAGCCCCATTCCACACAGCACCCCTCACTCTGCCCCACGACCCATTCAGCTAATCCCCCAGACATTGCTGTCAGGAGAACCGTGAGGCCCAGACGTGGGATCCCGGGCCTGCGGCACCAGCACGCTGTGGGAATGTGTTAGAAATGCAGACTCCCAGGCCCCACCTCAGACCCATGGGGACCCTCTCCCCACTCATGAGGCACAAGGCACTGTTTATACTTTACCTAGAGCAGGCATGTCAAACTCGCGGCCCACGGGCCGATGCAGCCCACAATGAATATTTTTGTGATCCAGACAATATAACGTATGTAAGAAACGTTTTAATAAAAATTTCGTCACTTAATTTTTACAATATCCTGTTATACATAATTATTAATAATGAACTATAACATTCACTAATGACTGATTACAATAATCGTGTTGCATTCATTTCCCTTACGTGCAGGCACACCATTTCTCTCACTAATACTAGCAGTGAATATTTTAGCAGCCGATTGCCACATCATTAGTCTTGTACTGACTTGTTTGGTATGCACAACAGGAAATATTTCACTTTCAGAGAACGAGAAAAATAGTTTTATTAGCGTTACACTTATTAATTTGTGTAGTTATTCAGTGTCTGGTAAGTTAATGTTCAAGAAAAATATTAATTTTTATTAAAATGTTCTATTATGTTAACGATGACTCATTTAATTCAGCCCTTTGTATTCAGCATGTCTCTATCAAAATAAACCTAAGTTTCTATGAAAACTGAAGCATTTGGTTTTTTGCAGCCCACATAAACTTAACCTTGTTTATTTGGCCCGTGTTAGCCTTTGAGTTTGACATGCTTGACCTAGAACCTTCCTGGAGCCACCATGTTTGAGAGGGGTGGTGTCTAGGACCAGCCTTAGCACTGAGCTGGTTGTGGAAATGCAAACTTAAACGAAATATCCACACCCCTGTGCAATCATACTGATGGGCAGGAAGTTTCCACTCATCAAGAAACCAGCCCCTACGTTGGGTCCCTTCCAGGGATGAGCCGGGGCTGACGGGCTCCCACCAGCGCCTTCTGAGGACAGGATGCAGCCGTCTCGGCCGGCCTGGCCCACCTCCAGGACCAGCTAGCAGGCCGCCTCCTCCAGCAAACCCTCCCGGCTGCCTGGGACAGGCAGGCCCCTGCTTCAGGCCCAGAAGGTCTGTGCCCCCTCCTTGGTGCAGCCACCACCACTACAGGTCGCTGCCTCACCCAGCTGGTGTTCCCAGGGAAGGGCCTATCGCAGCCTCTGTCATTGAACAGGTGTGTGTGCACGCCTCAGGGACACACCCGCAGGAACCACTCACAGTGCCCATCTGTCCAGACCATCACAGCCAGGACCCAACAGGGACACAGACTCAGGTGGTCCGGCCGTGCCACCCTCAACCCCCATGTAGCTTACAGGCCCAAACATTCAAGCTGGAAGCCTTCCGGCTACCCACAGGGGACCCCCAGGACCACCTCATGGAACTCTGGCCAAACCCACCGGGACCCAGAACGTGACAGCTTTGACCCTTTGCTCAGAACAGCCTGAGGCTATCCAGCCTCAGGGGCCTCGACTGGGTTCAGCAGGGATGGGAGATCCCCAGCCCAGGAACCTGAGACCACCCAAGCGAGTCCAGAGACTTACTGGGCCCTTCACAGCTGTACTGTCCACTTACTTCCTAAAGGGTGTGTGGTGGCCACAGCCAGGTGAGGGGCTCACAATCAGGGGTGGAAGGGGCAGAGGTGGAGATCTGGTGGGGTGGCTTCACTCCCTCCCTCTTTTCTCTGTCACCTTTTGGGGAGCCTGGCCAGCCAGCCTGCATGCAGAGCGCCCGCTGCCCTCCGGCAGGGTGAGGTCGGGTGGGCACAGGGTAGGCAAGGCTTGGGGTGGGAGGAGCGGGAGCCAGCCAGTGTCTACGGGAGGGCAGCCAACTACCAAAGCAGCCAAAACCGAGAGAGGGGCAGAAGGGACTCAGCCAGGGGGGTGAAGAAGCAAGTTTAAAAAATCAAAAAGGTATTCTAAGGAAATAAAAGATGAAGAAACAGGAGGGAGAGGTGAGCAAGTGTAGAAGGAATCCAGGAAGTGGAAATTAAAACTCAGGGCTGGGGGGTGGAGGGGGAGCAGGGAGATGCTGAAAGAAAACCGAGGGCACAAATGATACCTAGGCATGTCCGAATCAAGAAACTGCCTGCAAAACACAAACAGTCACAGGTTAGTGAGGTGTTGGGGCCGTGGGGGGTGGGGCAGCGGGCAGGGGCAGCGGGCAGCGGCAGGGAGGGGGAGCTGCACAGAGAGAAGCCACCAAGCCGGCAGGCCCACTCTGAGCCAGGGCGGCTGCAAAGCGTGGGGCCTCAAGCAGCGAGGCTGGGGCTGTGGCAAAGCTCGTGGGCAGCCCGAGACCCGAAGCCTGAGCTGGGTTGGGGTTGCCGAGCCTCAGCATCTGAGGGGGGAGAGCAGCCGGATCCACCAGGGCTCCGAGGATGTCAGCCAGGGTCCCGGGAGAAGGCCCTAGGGAGGGGCCCGCTGGCCTGGCCGGCCAAGCCTGAGCATGGTGCCTGCCTGGGGCCACCGCTGAGGAAGGTCCCCAAGGCTTTTCCAGGACAGTGCGGGAGGGGGGCCAGGCAGGCCAAAGCCAAGCATGGGGCCAGAGCAGCGATGGTCTACACCGCCTTCCTGTCCTGGGACCAGGGCCCTGACCTCAGGCACAGGGCTGATGGATCCCAGAGCTGCCCTGGGGCTGCCTCACTCCCACAGCTTCCAGGTGCAGGACCAGAGCCCATCAGCAATGGGACTGGGGCCTCCAGGGACAGGAAGGACCTTTTAGCCAAAGCCCTGCTGGCTTGAGGTCCAGCAGCCTCCTAGGCTACCCTGGGACTTAGCCCAGGGCTGAGGCTCCCCGAGGTGCCCCCAGCAGCAAGAAGACCCATCAACACAGCCTTCAGTGCAGGCTGGGAGGCCTGAGAGGCACCCCCTCCACCCCTTTCCTTTGCCCCCCACTCCCTTCCTGCCCCAAGCATCTAGGAATTGCTCGAGGTCGGGGGAAGGCTGAGGTCCAAGGCATCACTCAGCATGACACACAGACCTCTTCCAGGGGCACATGCCCTCCCGTGGGGGTCCCGGTTCCCATGGCCCAGACACAGCAGCCCACATTCGTGCAGGCGGCCCCCGTGTGGGTGGGCGCCCAGCCTTCACCACCAGGTCCCGGGGTGCATTTGCACAGTGACAGGCCCACCCCACCCCCTGTCCGCCTCACCGTCCCAGGTGCAGCCCTAGCCTGCCTGTCATGGTGTCACCTTCACATGAGAACAGCCCCCAGGCCCTCCCTCCTCTGGATATGAGTGCAAGGTGAGTTTCTTCTAAAAGGTTCCAGGGCAGGGCTGGAACTAGAGCCTCATCTGCCCCTGCTGGGGTCCCTGTTCCCCAATCCCCAAGTTGCTCATCTGAGGGATGGTCCCTCACAGCCCCCCCTCTCAGGGTGTCTGAGCCCGAGAGTCAGAGTGGCACGCAACTCCCCAGGACCCTCTGTCTGTATAGACATGGGCGCTTCCACAATGTGGCACCACCTCCCTCTGCGAGCACATGCAACCTTCACAGCCTCAAGGGCCCATGGAGACACCCACAGGTTGAGCTCAGAGAGTCAGGCAGGAGGAGGGCTTGGGAGCAGCTGGTGTGGGACTGGAGCACCTGCTCACCTCCCCACCGCCCTGGACAGCAGCCCCTCAGACCCAGCCGTGCCCGCCAGTGACTCCAGGACGCTCTCCGCAATGTCAGTCGTGAACCCGCAGCCCCAGCTGGCTCCAGCGTCTCCCGTCACATCCCTCCCACCCCGGCTGGTTTGTCCCCAAGGTGTCCCACACCCAGTCCACTGTGCCAAGTGCCGGGACAGCCTAAGCTGTGAGATCTTGACCATCACCTGGGAGCCTTGACAGGAATGGCCCAGTGACAAGGAGTGACCGGTGGGCACACCTTCACCCAGGATGCTGGGCCGCCAACCCAGTGCGCCCCTGAACCGCCTCCAGGACCCCTGGTCGGTGTTCCCCTGCCAGAGGTCACACAGCTGCCTCAGCAGCAAGGTCGGGGAAATATGGGATGCTTGTCCTCCCACCACCCATGGTTCCCACCCACCCCCCCACTCACCCAACTCCCCAGACAGGACCCAGCTCATTCCCACAACCGCCCCACAGTCCCTGCCAGGCGATCGGATGAACAAAGACGCTCACACATGCACCACGGGACTTTGAGGCCACAAGCCTCCCTCCCTGCTCCTATTCCCTCAGGCAGGAGGCCTAAAAGCTTTGGGGCCAGACACCCCAGCTCATGTGGGTGGACCGAACACGTCCAGGCCAGCCAAGGGTACCGCAGGCTGACACCCCAACCCCTGGGGCCTGAGCCAGACGGACTCATCTCCAGGGACTCAGGAGCAGAGCCTGCCGCCCAAGGGGACTCACCGGTCATCCTGGGCCGGGTGGATGTACCCAGATGAGAGAATGTTGAGAGATAAGATGTTGGGGTCAATCAGGGACTCGTCTGTTTCTGGGGTGTTTCGGATGCGACCTACGGAAAAGGTGGCAGGTCCGTCACTTCCAGGCGGGCAGGTGGGGGCACTAGGTAACTGCTCACACCTCTGCCTGGGCTGGGGCTTCTGCACTGAGGCCTACAGGGAACTGGCTCCCGGTGTGGCCAACAGGGCATCTGTCGAAGGGTAACCCCATGGTGGACAGGGAAACCCATGCAGGGTCTGCAGTCGGCCCGCTGCTATAGGTCAGTGCACGGTTCTACCATCTTTCCTCCCGCAGTCTAAGTTCTGCGCTTCTTCCTCCCCCTGCTCTCTCCTAACAGAGTCCAATCGCTCAAGCCAAAATGCTCAGGCTTCCTACCTGTTGGAAAGGAAATCTTAGCAAGATGAGGACAAAATGTTCCCTCTTCTCATTATACTTAAAAAAGAGAGAGAGAGAAGAAACACAACCCGTGCCATCGAATGCTCCTGCAAGGGGCTTTTCCAAAAGAGCCCCCAAGCTACCGCCTGCACACACTTGAGGGGCGGCTCTGTCTGTGGAAGCTGCCCGTGTTAGCCTTTGAGTTTGACATGCTTGACCTAGAACCTTCCTGGAGCCTGAGGGCCTCCTTGCTCTGTGCCTGAGGGCCTCATTGATCACTTCTTGCTCCAGCAGTGGCGGTGAAACTGACCCTTCCGCTTCTTTGAGGATGGACACATCCCAGCTGCCTTGCCCTCAGAGCCCCCTGAGCCCCAGGGACACGGCCACAGACACGCCTGGGCGGGCTTTTGAGAGGAGCCATCAGCTCTGGGCAGGCGAGGGCTGGGGCCTCACGCTGACACACGGGAACGGACAGTTTGTGTCCTTGAATGAAAACTGGGAAGACACATTCTTCACAGGTTGGCAGAGGAAACATCGCTAGCAGACAAAGAGTTCACAGCATGATGTCACGGAAGAAACCCGGCTAAGGTCCCGGATGAATTGCATTGTGTCCCCCCAGAATATATGCTGCAGTCCTAACCCTGGCACTGCAGAACCTGGCCTTCCTGGAAGCAAAAGACCCTGCTTGGCAGCTGTAATTAATTGAGATGTGGTAACACTGGGCCCGAATGTAATCTGACTGTCCCTGTAAGAAGAGTCCACGAGAAGACGAAGGATTGGAACAAGGCGTCTACAGATCCTACAAGAGGCCAGGAGGGGAGGGAGTATGGCCACCTGCCAACCCCCCTGTCTAGGGTTTATGCCTCTAGAACTGTGAAGAGGAGAAATTTCTGTTGTTTTAAGCCACCCAGTATGTGGTGCAAGCTAACATAGTGATTAAATAGATATTTGGAATTATCACCATGGCCTAGTCCAGTGATGGCAAACCTATGACACGCGTGTCAGAGATAACACGCGAACTCATTTTTTTGGTTGATTTTTCTTTGTTAAATGGCATTTAAATATATAAAATAAATCTCAAAAATATAAGTCTTTGTTGTACTATGGTTGCAAATATCAAAAAATTTCTATATGTGACATGGCACCAGAGTTAAGTTAGAGTTTTTCAAAATGCTGACACGCCAAGCTCAAAAGGTTTGCCATCACTGGACTAGTCTCTCTTTTTCAGGCGAGGGACTGAGGCACAGAGAGGTTAAGTGACTTGGCCATTGTCACACAGCAACAGGGGCAGAGCTGTGGTTAGAATTCAGGCATCTGGGTAGGCAGGTCCATTGCCTGACCACAAACCCAGCCCCAGCCCCCAAGGCAGACTCTACCCGCCTCACTTACCCACGACAAGCTCTCGCACTTCCTTCCAGCGGATATGGCTGCCCGTCTCGTGCAGCAGTGTCACGGTTATCCGTCTCTGGATGCCCTGTCAGGCACCAGGAGAGAGGGCACGGTCAGGGAGCCTGGGGGCCATGTGGGGCCGGGGAGGGGGCATGAGGTGGGCTGGGGCAGGGAGGGCCTGGCACCTGGTGGAGCAGGAAGGTCCCCATGCACGGCATGCCACCACGGTGGTCCACCACTGCAGGAATGTAACTGGAGAAAGAAAGATGTGTGAGGCAGGCGTCTGCCCTCTCCGCAGGCCCAAGCACAGTCGCGGCCCCAGGAGTGGAAGGAGGGAGAACAGATGAGATGGGAGGCTGTCCATGGAGACCAGAGTCAGCGGGGCAAGGAACCCATCGTGTGCCACCTCCTCCCCCACCATGGCCCTCAGGAACCCCAGCCCCCCAGCGCGGGCACACTGAGCGTGAGGACGCACTCGCCATCGGCCTCCAGCTCACAGATCTCAAAGTGAACCAGCAGGTCGTATTTGCAGTGGCGTGGCCCAGGGCAGGACCGTGTCAGCGTGCTGAGCTTGGTGGCGGGCACTGGGGGTGACAGGAGAGAAGCATGTGCTGATGAGAGACCGGACCCACCACGCACTGAGGGCTCACTCAAGGAGGGTGCCGAGGTGGAGGACGCGTCAAGGCAGCGAGCTCATCTCACTCCGAGGAAAGCCACCAGCAGCTCCCCACCCCATGTCCCAGGATGTGCCCACTCAGGCCCCAGCAGCCACTTACCAGCTCAAGATCAGATGTGACCATGTGCTCCTCCATGCCCAGGGGAGGAGCACGTGTCTACACACCCCAGCCCTCGAAGAGAGGGTGGTGGCTTGAGATGCCACAGAACCAGCAGACAACAGGAGCCACACTTGCTCAGAGGCCCACAACCCACCTGGGATCCCTGCTAGACCACGCTTTGGCCACAGCCTGCAGCACCTGTCCCAGCACCTCTACCCAGCACAGACAAGGCCTGCCCCTCAGGTCCCATTGGCCCTCTACTCGTGACCAATTCCTGACAAACAGGCTCAGGTGGTCTCAGCCCCTCAATGCCTTCCTCTCTGGGCTCCCACGCCTCTGTCGTCTGCTCCAGGAACCCGTGAGGCACAGGGCAGGCACCACCTGACTGCCACCCAGCTGCTCCGTGCCTGATGAGGGGCCGAAGACACCCGAGGTGTTTTCTCTGCCGCCACCCTGTGCCCAGAATGGAGCCCCTCACTGCATGGGGACCCTGTGAAGCCTAGTAGGTGCCTGGGGACCCCAAGCCTGGGAGTGATGACCCAGCATGAGGACTGTGCTCAGCTGCAAGGTCCCAACCACACTGGCACCCACAGGGGCAGACTCCCAACAGCTCGGCCTACCTGGCTTGGACAGCGGCATGACCCGTGGGAAATGGCGGCGTGAGGGTCTCAGGGGGCTGTGGAGAAAGAAGCATCCACGTGAGGCAACCCAGCGGGCTGGCGTCTGCAGGGGCCTGAGCTGGAGCAGGGAGCCCCGCCTGCCTTCCTCCCTCCCACGGCCCCCAGACCCGCTGGAGGCCCCACGGGACCATGAGAACTGGGCCAGGACCTGAGCACATCCTTGCAGAGGGGCGGGAATGGGTGCTGCTGGTAGTGGCCGAAGACCTCGAACACGATGGGCTGGCTCTTGATGTATTCGATGAAGGACTTGGTCACCTCCACAGCAATCTGGTGGCAAGGTGGGCAGGTGATCAGAGGGGAGCACAGGGCCTCCATGGAGAACTGAGCACTCCAGGCCCAGATGGAAGGCCCCATGGGCCTGAGTTCCGCTCATGACAGGGACAACATTCCTAGCCAAGGTCCTTCCAGCCCTGCCTCTCCTCTGTCACCACCCAATGGACAGACCACCAGATGGGTGGCTTTGGTCTCTCTTCCCAGTATAGATGGGGCTGGGCCAGAGGGCTCGGCTACCCTTTCAGACCACAGAGCTCGAAATGGTGACCAAGGCCAGGGTGCCTCTGGGGTCTGGTCTGACCCTTCTGGGGCCCTGGCCCACTCACCAAGAGTTACGGGTTGAACTGTGTCTCCCTGGATTCCCCACCCCCAGTTCATAAGTTGCAGCCCTAACCCCCAGCACTTGTATTTAGAGGCAGGGTCTTTATTGAGGCCAGCAAGTTAGATGAGGGCATTAGTGTGGCCCTAACCCAGGGGTGGGCAAACTTTTTGACTCGAGGGCCACAATGGGTTCTTAAACTGGACCGGAGGGCCGGAACAAAAGCATGGATGGAGTGTTTGTGTGAACTAATATAAATTCAAAGTAAACATCATTACATAAAAGGGTACGGTCTTTTTTTTTTTAGTTTTATTCATTTCAAACGGGCTGGATCCGGCCCGCGGGCCGTAGTTTGCCCACGGCTGCCCTAACCCAATATGACCATGTGCTTACAAAGGGGGAAATCAGAACAGAGGCAGGTACAGAGGGAAGACCCTATGAGGCCTCAGGGAGAAGACGGCCATGTACATGCTCCAGGACAGACTGGGACAGGTGCTCCCCTCGGGCCCAGAACAACCCTGCTCATACCTTGACCTCAGGCACCTCTCCTCCAGACCTGGGAGGCGATAATGTATAGGGCAGCCCAGTAAACGAGCCAGCCCGTGTGCACACTTCAGACCTGCCTTGTTTCCCAGCTGGGAAACTGTGGTCCACTGCCTGTCACCTGAGGGCCAGGACGGCCAGTCTGCAGGGCCACCTGACCACGGCCTCTATGACTGCGCAGGCCTCATGCCAACAGACTACGTAGCTCAGAGTCAAACTCCCCAGCCTGGCCCTGCAGTCCTTATCACCTGGCAGCTTTCATTATGGCCACATGGAGCACCCCCCACACACTGCCTGGTTACCCCTGCTCCCCAACTCCGAAAGCCCCCTGCTCTCCTGACAGCCTGGCTTGGATGCTCCCCTGCCTGGAGCTCTCCTGACCTCCCAGAGCCCTGCCTCCACCCCTTCCCATACCACACAGGCTGCCCGGCTAGGCGCCCCAGCCTCAGCACAGACCCTGGCCACCCCAGAAACTTGTTCCCTTCAGGGAGCTCTCTGGACTCTTACTGCCCCCACCCCCAGTCTTAAACCCACCGAAGGCCCAGTGCCCAGCAACAGCCCACACGCCTGCCTGGTGCCAGAGGCCCTGTGTCCTCCTGCCTGGCCGCGTCCAGCACATGCTGGTGACCAGAAGAGGGAGGAGGAACCATGGTGAGACTGGGTGAAGCTGTTTCAGGGGGGCCACCCACAGCCAGACCCTGGGAGGGCCACCCAGTGGCAGGGAGAAGGGCTCTGAGGACCTACATTCTGGACGTGGTAGAAGCCAAGTGGGGGGCCCCTCCCCGTGTTCTTCAGGGGCTCCGTGGAGAAGGCCTCATCATGGCGATGGATGAAGCTGCAAAGCGGGAGGAGACACTTGGCTGGGGTCTCTGGGACACCATCCATGCATTGCTTAGAGCCTGCCCACCCGCCCGCGGGCCTGTCCAGTGGGGCTGAGCTCACTTGAACTGGCAGAAGATGTCAGCGTACTCCGCAGAGATGCTGGACGCCTGCAGGACGGTCACGCGGAAGGTGAAGGTGCTGCCCAGGCGCAGGTGGTCCAGGGCGGCATCCAGGGGCCCGTCCAGGGTGGCCTTCTCAGGGCTGTCTAGGAGGAGGCTTTCCGGAGGCACCGCTGCTGGGAGCCAAGGGCACAGCCATGTGACGGGACCCCCATGTGACGGGGGCGCTGGAGTTGAGGTCAGGCTTAGGGCCTGCACAGCCTCCCGCAGGGACTGGGCACGGGGAGGGGGCCTGGTCCTAATCACCCTAGGCCGGCCTGGAAGTGGAGGGACCTCCAGACTACAGTGGGGCAGGGCCATGTCCAAGAGCCCCAAGCCCCGGGCAGCCACAGTGACCTACCTGAGCAGGTGTTGTTGTTGACCTCGTCGGCGGAGGGCCCTGCGTCTGCTCCCTGGCCCTGGCCTTCCACAATGCGCAGCTCTTCTTGGGAGGTCCCGGACCGAGACATCCCCACCACAGGGCAGGACTCAGACTGGAACTATGGGGGGTGGGGAACCAGAGTCAGAGAGAGGGGGCTGGGTGGAGTCCCCCAGCCAGTCAGGAGGCCAGGAGAGGGGCCTGTGCTATCCAGAGTCAGGTGACAACTTCATGGATCTTTGTTCCAGACCTGCCCGAGGGTGGGTGGGTACCTATCTCCGTAGGCCTCAGTTTCCCAGGCTGTCATGGCCTATGCTGATTCCATGAGTGGGAAAGGTCCTTAGTTCTGCCCCATCCAGGACCCTCCCATAGCTCCTCCCCCCATGGGCAGGATGCAGGTAACCTTTCTGCTTGGCTGTCAGGGTCCCGGCCAGGTTCCCTGTGCCAGGTGCCCGCTCAGCCTCCTCTGCCCTGTGCTCTCCATCTGTTTGCCATTTGACCCTCCTGTGCATCGCCAACATTGGTGAGCCCCTCAGAGAGGGACTGGGGGGCAGAGGGGCAGGCACACTGCCCTGAGCTCGAGGCGGTGGGCACTGAGGTTCAGGACAGGGTTGCAGGCGTCCGGTGGAGGTGGGACAGGAAAGAGCCTGAGGGAGAGGAGCTGCTTGCCAGGTACCTTTTCGAAATGCTGGTCATCAAAGGAGATTTTGGCTGTTCCTGACTGGCGGACGCCCGAGCCATAATCAGGAGCCTCTTCATCGGCTAGAAGAGGAACCAAGCAGATGGTCAGGGCTCTGCTTGCCCCCAGGTGGTGTGGCAGAGCCAGGCTGAGCGGTCAGGTAGGGGGAAGGCACAGAAACCACCCCATCCCCAACACTGCCGACTGCGACTGCAGGATGCCCAAGGCACCACCCTGGGCATGGCAACCACCAGCCTGTGCTGCCCGGGGGCCCAGAAGTGGCCACAGCCTCAACACAGCCTGCCTTGATAGGGGCCACAACCCCACATTGTAAAAACCAAGCTTACGACCCCGCCCCTCTCCCTGAGTCCTGATCCCCCGCTGGCCTCCCCCAGACTCAGATGCTATAGCAGAACCAGAGTCCTCCTGGCCCCTCCCTCCACCCCACAGGGCAGAGCCCACCTACCAGGTCTCCTGGTTTCACCGTGGAACCCCACCTGTCCCCCTGCCACCATCCTTGCAAAGCCACTACGATCACCTGCCTGGGCACTCAGCATCCCATACCCTTCCTTCAGAGTAGTCAGTGGTCTCCCCTGTGCTTGGGACAAAATCCAAACCCTTTTCCTATTGCCTACAGGCCCCTGAACCCCAACTGCAGCCACTCTGGTTAGATGTCACCCCAGGAGGCCTTGCAAACTGAGGAGTCTGCCCCTCTGTTCAGGGGCCTGCGAGGGTACAAACACCCTGAGCCCTCCAGCCCGGCTGTCCTATAGTCCTGTCCCACCATCGCCCGGGGCCAGCCCAGGCTGTGCACAGCAGGCTCAGGGCTCAGTGCGAGAGATCAGGGAGCTAAGCTCTGCCACTCGGGGGAGGGGGCAGGAGTGACTTCTGTGACCATGAGGCTGGTTTTTTGGTGTGTTTTTTTAAGCTCCTTTTCCTCCACCATATCCACTCGACAGAGAATGTCAGATGTGGTCCAAATAGAGGCAGTGTCACCCTATAAAGCAACCTGCTCAGGGGGACCCCACCGAACTGGGACAGAACTAGTCAGGAAGGATGAGGAAGAGCCACCAACTGCTCCCAGCATCCCTGTCCTCTGTCCCTCTACAGTGCCGCCCCCGCTCCCACCCAGGCTTCCTTCTTGGCAGGGTCCCCAGAGGCTCACAGCACAGAGACACACTGGGAGGGGTTGTGGGGTCCAAAAAGGGGTGCATTGGACCAAGGGAGGCTCTGAGGGCCACTGTGGGCGGGGTTTGGGCAGCCAGTCCTGGGGCTGAGAGATGGCAAGTGGTGAGCTAGGAGAGCTTCTGTGTCCACCTGGTGCTGCCTGGGGGGAGGGAGGTCCGCTGAGCCAGGGGGAGCTCAGACAGCCCTGGGCTCAGCCTGCACACCCCAAAGGGCCCCAGTCACTCTGGGAGAGTCTGGGAGGCCAGAGCCAGGAGCTGAGCATGGGGGCTTCTCCTGGGGCCCCACTTGAAGATCAGCAGCTAACTGCCAGCTGGGGGTGGGGAGGAGACAGTGCAGGCGGGGGGCCTGGTGAGGCTGGCTGCACACCAACCTCTGTGATGCCCGCAGAGGCCTCCCCGCCTGAGGCCTCTACCCGTGAAGGAGAGAGCCAGGCCCGCAGTCCTCACACACCTGAGATGGCCTGCACGGCCACACGGAGAAAGCCCTTCACCTCGCCCTTCTCGCTGACGATGGCCACTCGGTGCACCAGGGGCACGGGGTACAGCAGGTTGCTCAGGTACACGAAGGCCCTGGGGGAAGAGAGGCTTCTGTCAGGACCAGCTTGGTGTGCGCTGCCAGTGGCGGCGGCGACAGTGCGGCCAAGCTCACGACACAACACTGCAAAGCGGGCGGAGCGCAGGGCGGCGGGCGGCGGGCGGGCAGGGGGCAGACAGAGGCTGAGGTGCTGAGGACACAGGAGGAGGCGGAGGTCGTGCGCTGGGGCAGAGGCAGTGGCCAGTGGGCTGGCACAGGGCACAGCTGGGGCCATACCTGCTAACGGACGAGAAAGCAGCTGAGGAGGGGTTCAGCCTGCTTCAAGGAGGAGGAGCTGGGACCTGGCCACACTGAGCTACGACGCTGGCACTGGTGCCCTGACAGTCCCCAACACCCACCCACTTCCCAGTGGTCCGACGCTTGTGGGCCCAGGTGCCGGAATAGGGCTCACAATTCCTCTGAGCTTCTAGGGACAAAGTGGTGGGGGCTCCGTGGTGTCAGCCAAGACAGGGCACCAGCCCTAGCCCAGAGAGGGTTGGCTGAACGGACACCCGCAGACCCCACAGAGCTGTGTGCCAGGGCCCTGCCAGCTACCCACAGAACGCCCAGAGTTCTCCCTTGCCCTGGCAGTGCTCAGCTGGTGCCAGTACAGACCAGACAGAGCCTGCATCACCCAGCAGCTACCACAGTCCCTGAGTCTGTCCATGTGCAAGGGTCACACGGGCAGCCAGGAAGACAGACAGGACCCTGGGGGCTGGGCAGGCTGATGTGGAACAAATCTCCCCCACTGTTCAGGGGCACCCACCCACATGAGCCCCTGGGGGCAGCCCCCCTCTGTACACTCCAGCAGAACCTGCCTCCGCCTGCCCTACCCTCCAGCAGGATCCACAGGTAGCTCTTGCTCCAGCCCAGAGATGCAAACATCATTACCCTGAGCTCCTGGGGGCTGGGGGTGGAGGTGCAGGATTTGGACATAGGAGGGAGGGAGGTGTTGGGGAGGAGGTGCACAAGGTGGGGTGAGGGAGGCCCAGGGTCCCAGCGTGGAAGATGGACAGACAAAGGCTAGAGCAGCAGCAGGGTGCGGCGGCGGGGGGAGATGGGTGAAGGAAGATCAGGGTCTGCTAGCCAGGTGGGCGCTGGCACCCAGGTGCATGGCCGAGAGCAGTACAGGGCAGAGTGGGGAGAAGCTGGGAGGGGAGAAGAGCGGTGTCACCCGTCACCCTTTCACTCGGCTTGCTTGGAGGTCAGACACCCCCACAGCCACTGGCCTTGCCCCACGCTCTGAGGTCCAGGACATCCCTCTCTGGACCTGCTGTGACCGCAGCACATGCCTGGTAACCCTGACTCCAGCCCTGCAGCCCCCTCGGGCAGGGCTCCTAATCTCGACCTCCACGGCCTTGCTGGTCCTCCTCCAGGAGGTCAAAAACCTGAAACCATCTTATCCCTTCTTTCAAACCCATCAGTTCTACCTCAGAAGTCTCTCCGAAGTCCTTTGGCGGGTCCATTACCACCGGCCACCCTCCTGCTTCCCCCATGGCCTCCACAGCATCCCAGGAGTCGTGGGATGCAGATTAGACCCCACCTCGATGACACACAATCTCCTTGCTTCACCTGCAGCCCTGATGCCCAGCCCCTATTCCAGCCACATGGGCCCGAAGTCCATCCCTGGCCCTGGTTACAGATGAAACTGAGGCCCAAATACTGGTAGCCCCTTGCCATAGTCACACAGGGCACCTAGCAGGCAGGGACTGAAGGGGGCAGGCTGATGGGCTGCTCCCGGCAGCTGCCTCGAAGTGGGGACCGTGGTGGCCTTCCCACCCCGGCATCTGACTGGCCAAGGGCCTTTGCTTGAAATCAGGGGGTACTGAAGGGAGCATACCTCCTCTATGGGTTAAGTAAGGGCACGAGGGTCCTTAATTAGTACAGCCTGCAGAAAAGAGAGGTTAAGGGCTGCCAGGGCCTCCCAGCCAGCAGGGAGAGCTGGGATGAGGACCACCTCAAAGCCCCCTGCCGGCCCAGGTCCAGTGGGCCCTTGTGTCCCCGATACTCTGATCAGCCCCTTGGGGGCCTGAGCTCAGCAGGGGCCGGCACTGGGACATCTGCTTTTCCCACACCTGGGGGGTAGGTGCTCCTGCACCTCCTGGGTTCTAAGATGCCCACTCTTCATACTTCAGCACTGAAACGGGTTGGACTGAGCAGTGGCACGCCTCAGCAGCTGGCCTCATCTTTCTTTCTTTCTGAGGGGTGCACAAAATACAGCTGGGACCACAGATCTGGCTGCTGCTCTGGCTCCGGATCAGAGAAGGTGAAGGAAGCCTCCCTGGCTCCTTCCTCCTAATCCGGGTCCACCTGGCCATGATGATGGACACATTCAGGCAGAAGGAACCTCTGGGGCCCAGGAGCCATGGCACCAGCCTCAAGGGACTGCAAGCTAGGGCTCAAAGACCCCACACCCCGTACAGAGCCACCTCACAACAGCACTAGACATGAGGGGGTGGGGCCATGGGGCAGAAACAACCTGGCATTAGCATGGGCCACCGTGGGGATGCCCTGCCCGGACACAGGGAGTGGCTCTCAGTCTCACTGGCAAAGATCTGGGTTGAGCAGCCCGGTACGCAGAGTACACCTGGCTGATGGTTTGGCCTTGCCAGCCCAGGTGGCAGAGTGCATGGAGCAGCTCAGCGTTTTCCCACCCAGAGTCCCGGACACTTCCCTTGGGCAATCACCTCTGTACCCTCACCCAGTCCCTCTTTTCCTAGGACCCCTCCTCCCCAATTCCTGAGAGTAGTGGTCTGGGCAGAAAGGATTATAGGGGAAACACTCCCTCTGCTTGGTCAGTCATCCCCCTATTCACCCAGCACCCCAGACTGCCAACGGGAGATGCCCCCTGGGGGGTGGACCCTGGGCGTGGGTAAGGAGGCTGGGTCAGGACGAGGGAGGCCCAGCTGGGGGCCTTGTCCACGGAGGTGAGCACACCTTGAAGCAGGCTGAAACCCGCCGAGAGAGAGGAGGTGGCAGAGACGCAGAGCTAGAGCTGTGTGGCGGGAGGGAGGAGGCAGCGCTGACCACAAGATTGGTGAGGTGCAAAGATGCATGCTGGGCCAGGAAAGCCTTTCTGAAGGGAGATGAGAGTGAGTGCCCCAATTCTGCTTAAGCTTTGGAGAGAGCCGGCAGCTACCAGAGGATCAGAGGAAACCACAGCCGGGTCCTTCCCAGGGCCCGGCCCACATAGCTGCTGAGCGGGGAAAAGCCAATTCTTGCCAAACAAAAAGATCAGGATGGTTCCAAAAGAAGCCCTCCTTGGACCGCCCACAGGCAGGGCCGGCCTCTCAGGGGTGGCTTTGCTTTGGTTTGGTTGTTTCCTGACATCTCAGACCCACACGGGGAAGTGCCGGAAGGACCCAGCTCTTTCTGGCTGAGACTGCAAGAACCCACCCCCGTTTCTCCCCGAGTCCTCGCTCCCATGTCCTGTCCCATGCCTACCTGTCACCTGAGTGCCTCCTGGGCCCAGCAGGCCAGAGGGCCTCGCCATAGTGGCTGGGCTTTCTGAGGCTCCACTCCCTCTCGGGCTCTGCAGACCGAAGCCCAGGCACCTCAGAGGGAGAGAGCCACTTGCTTTTATCCAGTAGGCCAGCATGTCACTCAAGGGACCCTAATTAGAATAAATCCAGGATGTGTGCCCATGGTAACCTGCTTCGTTCCAAGAGGATCCGTGTGAACCCCACTCTCTGAGGCCGCTGCAGCCCACAGCTGTCAGTACTGGCGCTCAAGGCCAAGGCTTCCGAAACCTCCATTGGACGAGCTCAAGCTCCAGAAGCGGCTGCTGCAAAAACCATCTCACACCTTTTCTACTGTAAACATGCAAATTCAGCTGCTTCAGGAGCTGCTTCTCCTTCTCCCACAGGAGGCGTCTAGGTCTTTCTTTCACCAGTCAGGCTTCCAATCCATGATGATAAACAAGCGTGGCTGACAGCTGTATCTGCCTGACCTCGGCCTCTCTTATCCACCCAGGACACAGCATTGGACTCCTCTCTGCAAAGGGCACTTCCTGTGCAGGCGCAGGGCCGTGTGTCTCTGGCCATGATGGCCTGGGAGGTCAGAGGACAAACAGTCCTCACCTTTAGACAGAGACAGGCTCAGAGGGAGGCAGGGTCTGCAGGGCCCCTGCTTCTGAGGGAGGTCCTCCCACTGCCCGAGCGCAGCCCTCCTCCCTGCCTGTGGGACAGCTCCCCATGCTCTGCTCCTTTCCCTAGAGGCCCCATCTCTTCAGGGACCACGGGCCTTGAGGGCGGCATGCCCCTGCTTTCCAAATGTCCCCAGTGGCAGTCCTGCTCAAGGATTTTTTCCAGGGTCCAGCGGCCACCTCCCGGGTTCTAGGCCCTCTCTGAAGTGTGTTCCCCTGCAAAGAGCTGGCGGCCATGCTTCAGGAATGCAGGCGCCCTGGAGCTCCTCAGGCCCCCTCCTGTGAGGCCAGCCCCTTGGCCCGTGGTCACGCCCTGAGGGCGGTCAAATTGTGCCCACAGCAGTGCTCCTGTGCAAAAGAGCTGGTTCCTTCCCAGCATGCTGTCCTTGACCTCACCAACCTTCCTACTAAACTGAACAGGGGGGGCCGGTCGTAAAACGGGTCCCGGCCGTGGCACAGCGCGTGCTCCAGAAAGACGTCGTCCTCCAGGTCCTCCTCCTCCTCCTCCTCCTCCTCCTCCTCCTCCTCCTCCCCCAGGCTCTGCTCCTCCGCAGGCTCGGTGGTGTCGGAGTCGGGGCTCGAGGAGGTGGGGGAGGGGGTGAGAGCAGCCATGCGCGCGCTCATGCACGTGTTGAGAAGAGGGTAGCTGCTGCAGCCAGAGATGACTGAACTGAGGTTAGTAGGACAAGACAGAGAGAAGTTAACACCAGCCTAGCGCAGGGCACACAGGGGCAGGGGCTTCCAGTTACACCCAAACCAAACACACAGACCACCAAGAACTGCCTTCAAAGACGAGGACCGAAAGGGCACCCCGTCCCAGGCTCAGAAGGAAACTGCATGTGTGGTCAGTGGACGGTTCCGGAAGGCCCTGGAAGCACCGGCGGAGTGATCCTGCCGTGGTATGGCTGAGGTCGCATGAAGACCTCATGTGCTTGGCCATCTGGAGGCCTCTGAATACCACGTCCGTCCCGCAGGGCGAGGGGCTGGGCACAGACCAGGAGACCAGGGCCAGGAGGCCTGGGACTGAGGCTCTGGGTGGCACGGCCCTGTGTCCCCACTCCCACCACAGCCACCAGGTGACCTGGGGAGTCAGACTCAGCCTCACACACTCACACACGCAGACCTGGGTGACTTGGTGGCCACGCCTCACAGTGGGTGTGGGGACAATGCTGAGAGCCCTCCATGGTCCCTAAATAACAAGGGTCAGACCAGGAAGGACCAGGGCGGAGAAGTCAGGATGGGAGCAGGGCCAGTCAGGGTCCTGCCTTGGGAGGCTCCCGCCCCCCCGCCCTCTCTTCTCTTTCAATCTCAATCTCTCTTTTTCTCAATCTCTCTCTCTCTTTCACTCTCTATTTCAATCTCTCTCACTCTCTTTCTTTCTCTTTCTCTCACTCTCTCTCTCGCTCTGTCTCAGCCCAGGGAGGGAGGTGCCCACCTGCCCACCAGCCGGAACCAGGGGAACCGGTCGTAGAAGGGGTCTCCGCCAGTCACCACGTTGTCACAGTCCTCAATGACGCTGGAGGGCACCTCGGCTGCCCGGTCATACATCTCCCGCATCAGGTCTAGGCGCTGCCTGCAAGGGTGCAGAGGTCAGTGTGGGAGCAGTGGGGACGGGCACTGCCTTGCACACCCTCTCCCACCTCACACCCTCTTTCCACCAAGAAGGGCCCAGGAAGGGCCAGTCCATGCTCGCCTCCTCTGGGACTCAGCTCTGGCTACAGCATCCTGCTCAAGGTTGTCTGAGGCTCAAGCTGCTTTCCTGACAGCCCTCTAGGTCCTCAAAATCGGTCACTGAGCAAAGGACTTCCAGGTAACAGACGAGGTCACCACTAACTCCTCCCAACTCTGGCCAGGTAGCAGCAAGGTGGGGCAAGCAGGCAGGATAGCTGGAAACCAGCGACAGGGAGGTAACCCTTAGCAGGGGCAGAAAAGTGGGGAGAGAATCCCAAGGGGAACTGCCATGGGGACCTCAAGATGCTCCAGGAATAAAGGGCAAATTGGTGATAGGATACAGAAAATGATATTTAAACAATTACTACCCCCAGGAAACCCACAAGTTGAGGAAGAAAGAAAATGCAATCTTCCCGCCAGCACTCAGGTGTAACATGAATGAATGAAGGGTGAACATTTATCCAAACATCAGCCTGCAGCCCTGGGAGGTGAGGAGGGCTGTGAGTGCGAGTGTGTGTGCCTGGGCAAGGGCGGGGATCACTGTGTGTGTGTGTGTGTGTGTGTGTGTGTGTGTGAATGAGCCATACAAGAAAGGTGTGTGAGAGTCTATGAATGTGCAGTGTGTGCTATATTAATTATATTTTATTAAAGGCCTGGTGCAAAAAATTCATGCACAGGTAGGGTCCCCCAGCCTGGCTGGTGATCAGGGCCTAACTGTGGGGTGACTAGCAGGGTGATTGGGGGTCCCCCGCTGGCACCCACCTTGGCTGGCCGGGGGCCTGTGGGCTGGGGGCAGCTCCTGCGTTGAGCATCTGACCCCTGGTGGTCAGTGCGCATCATAGCAACTGGTCACTCCACTGTTTGGTCGATTTGCATATTAGGCTTTTATTATATAGGATGATGTTTTATGATCTTTAGGGCCCTTGCTGGCTGGGGAGGATGCCCCTCCCAGGCCAGCCAATTCTCAGATAGTAAACTCTTTGGGGGTGAGTTTTACACACACACAGCCACCCCCTTAGCTGACATACACCCAGGGAGTGCCCCTGCGCTCCATCAGCCCAAGGCCAGATACCAGGCAACTAGGGGCAGCCCTGTCCTCGCTGTCCACCCCGCACTGCTTTGCCCATGAAAACCCCATAGGGCCGTGGCCGAGGCCTCTCCCTCGATCCTGTCTCCCTTCTGCCGTCCTGTGCTCCCCTCTGGCGTTCCTCTCATTTCTAGGGACTGTGAGTGACATTAAACTTTTCTTCAGTGGCACTGGCCTGTTGTGTCTCAGTCACCTTTATAAATTAAGGGCAGGGCACATGTCACATACAGTGAATGTGTGGGGACCAAGGAGGTGGACTGTAGCAGCCCCAGAAGCCCCCTCCCGGCCTCTCAGGCCCTGCGTGCCCATCCTGTGCCACCTCCCTGCAGCTCCCATCGCCTCCTCCACAAAGACGTACTACACGTTCCACGGCATTGGTGGAGGGAGAACCGGGCCCTGTGTGAGGCTGGGTCTGTCACTGTTTGCTTCTGATTTTCAAAGAGATTAAGACAGGAGAAAAAGCTGCACGGACAGGTGTCCCATACAACTGGTGCCCGCCCCTCTTTTGGTGGCTCCCATCCCCAACGTCCACTTCCACCGCCACCTGCCACACCTGAGCTTCTCCAGCGTCCAATAGTGGGTGGCCCCGTTCTTCTGGTCTTGCACCTCCACAGCCACGATGGTGCGGGGGAAGGGTCGCGTCTCTCGGTCTTTGGCAGCCTCTGGGGGCAGCAGGTCAGGAGGCAGTGGGGAGTAGAGTGTGTCCGTGAGGAGGACAAACTGGAACTGGACCTGTGACAGGCACAAGATGACCACCCGTCAGCCCCCTAGTGGGCAGGAGCCAGGGCCCGGGAAAGGCTTCCTTCCCAATTCCCGTAATCATGCTGCATGTGGGAATCTCCCCACCCACCACCGGAGAGGGCTACACCTGCCCACCTGCCTGCCTACTGAGCCGGGAGCCACATCACCTCGGTCAGTTCCCTGCCTCCCTCCCACCCCCCACCCCCCCCACCCAGGGGCCCGGGCCGGGCAGCACCACTCCTCCATGCCCAGAGCAGAGGAGCCCAGTGTCAAGTCCAGCCATAAGCAGGAGAGGTGATACCCTCCTCCAAGACCACCGGTGGGCCCACCTTCTTCTTGAGCTCCACGCTGATGGCGTTGGCCTCCTTGAGGAAGATAGCGTTGCCCCAGAGCTGGTCCCGCAGCGAAGTGAACTGGTACCACCTCCACTTCCGGAAGGCCCACAGCGCCAGCTCGCACTCCCTCTCCGTCCACGGGACTGTGGGGAGGGGCCACAGGGTCATCGAGGCCACGCCACAACATCCTGCTCTGGGTCGGGGCCAGGGGCTCTGTGTCTGGGTCCCCATCTCAGCCTAATTGTTCTGGGTGCTCGGAAAGAAGGAAACTGGCAGGAAGAGGTGATATGAGCCGTGTAATATGAAAGGAGGCTCTTCGGGCCCCAAGGAGGGCAGTGCATGAGCATCGTCCTGAGCCATCCTGAGTCGGACTGAAGCTTGGTGAGGACTGAGGGGCCAGCAGGAAAATGGCAGGCACACCGCCATGTGGGGAAGCAGTGGGACGGGGACTGCCCTGCACACCCTCTACAACTCATGCCCTCTTTCCACCAAGAAGGGCCCAGGAAGGGCCAGTCCATGCTCCCAGACTCAACCCCTACTCCCAGCGACTCCTCCCACCTAGAGCCTTGCCTTTTGGAGCTCAAAGGGCCCTCATTGGGTAGATGAGTCCAGACAAGGGGAGACCAAGGTCACATCCGCACAAAGGTGCTAACCCGCAGACCAGAGATCAAGCAGGACGTGAACTCCATGGCTACCCTTGGGCCCCACAGCAGCATGAGGGCAGCCAATGGGCCACCTAAGCAAATGACCCAAGGTGAGGAGCAGTGACCTTGTCCGGGGGGAGCTCCAGCCTCCCAGGTGGTAGCACAGGGCGAGTGGACACAGGACACCCTCACTGTCCTCCCCATGGTCCAGGCTGCTGCCTTCAGAACTTCATGTGTTTGCACACGTGTGTGCAGCTTGTGGGGTGCTTTCCTGCTGCAGCACAATCTCCCTGAATCCTGCCTCCCAGGGACAAGGCTTATTCCCAAGGAATAGGCAGGACCCCAGGGCAAAGATGCAGACCAACTGACCCCAGGAAGTACCCTGGGGGCTGCATGTTCTTGGAGACCCAGACCTTGCCCACCAGCAGGTTGGGGAGCCCTCACCTTCGTCCTCTGGCTCTTCCTCCTCCTCGTTCACCTCTGGGAAGTACCTGGACTCCATCTGCTTCTGCAGGGCCTCCAGCTTGCTCTCATAGTCCTAGCACAGAAGCAGGGTCTATGACTCCCCTGGGCCCCTCGAGCTGTGGGCCCCTCGAGCTGTGGGCCCCAGGCCTGCCCAGTGGGCCCAGACATGGACCAACACAGCGATGGCTTGGGGTAGTGGAGAGTAGGGACCCGGCTCACCCCACCCAGGCATCGTGTGGGGCCTGGGGACCAGGGAGTGCCGCTCTCACCAGCCTTTGCTGCTCCAGCAGGTAGGTGGCCTCCTCCCGCTCCCGGCGGTACTGGTCCTCAAGCTCCTGGAGCCTGCGAGAGAAGGGGTGGGTGACTCGACAGGGGTGGGTGACTGTGGGGGTGGGTGACTCGGCGGGGGTGGGTGACTGGGTGGAGGGGGATGTGGTGCTGTGGGAGCAGCATGGGCCCTGAGGGGAGGCTCCCAGCCAGCCTCACCTCTGCTCCATCTCCTGCTTCATGTCGATGCCCTGCTTCTCCAGCAGCTCGCGCTGGGCGAAGGCCCAGTCCACAGGCTCTGAGGGCGTCTCCGCGCAGGGCGTGCGCTCGCGCTCCTGCCGCGCCTGCTCAGGGTGGTTGAACCGGAACACGTGGCTCTTCCCCATGATGATGCGGTTTCCTGAGGGACAGAGCCAGGTTGAACTAGGGGCACCTGCCCCCTCGAGTGGCCTCGGGTGGTGGGGAGGAGAGGGAAAAGGGGGAGCGGTCCCTTCCTCCAATTGGGCTCCCAGCATCTCCCACCCCAGGAACCACACCCGGGTCCTCAGCTCTGTGGAACTCCTCCGCTCGCCCCTGGCCCAGACTTCAATGGACCTCCTCACTTGCCCCAAATCTACCCTCTCAGCCCCTCCCCTCTGTAGCCAGGGATGTTTGCAAAGTGTAGTCCCGGGCTTTCCCCATGTCCCATCCTTGCCATGGTGCCACCCCATGCCAGGCTCTCCTCCCAGCCTGGTGCCTCGAGCCAATGCTCTGCCTTCCCGAATGCCCACAGCCCTGGGAGCAGACGGGCCCCACCGGCGGAGGGTGGCACGGGCCTTCTGCCCGGCTGTACCTGACCGAAGGATGCTGGGCTCCGTGACTTTCTTGCCATTGACGTAGGTGTCTGCCCCCTCACAGGGCTCCAGGGTCACCACGGCTACAGGACAGACAGGGGGACAGACAGAAGGACTGTCAGGAGCTGTCATCGTGGGTGCCACACCCTCCAGCTACCTGTAGGGCTCTGCTCACCTGACACCCATGTGCAGCCCCACCACCACTCTCCTCCTTGCTAGCAGCAAAGCCTTAACTGTTAGTGGCACCTTTTTGGGCCTCAGAGAAGCCGAGGGGTCACACCTGATTAATAGGTGAGGAGAGTGGCACCCTGTCAAAGAGCCAGGAGGCTGTTCTGGGCTGACTACCAACCCTGTCAGGCTCTCCAGGCGGGCAGCATGTCCCCAGGAGTCCCGGAGCCTCTCTGGCTCTGGGCCCGCCCACTCAGGGGAGGGCAGGCTTTGGGGACAAAGAATTCTGGGAGAGCCAATGTCCCCAATATTGTTTAAGGCCACCACCCTGAAGTGTCCAGTTATACAGCAGGTGTCGGCCACCGTGTGCAGCCCAGAGGTTGGCTGGACACCTGACCTCAGCTGTAATAACACTCTGACCAGCAGGTGCTCCCCTAGACATCACACCCAAGACAGGCCATGTAGACGGACGGCAGACAGGCAGGGAAATGGGCCGGTGGCTGCTCCACAGACAGCGGGAAAGTGTAGTCCAGAAATAATTCTCCACTTTCCACCTGGCTGGCTCCTCACGGCTCACTGTCCTACTACCCAGGATCGCCCCAAAACACACCGACACAGGAGAGGCTGCCCACAGCCCCAGCCTAGTCGCCCAAGCCCCTGTCTGATGGAGGGGCTTCCCAGGACTGACCGGGGATCTTGGAGGTAATGAGCTGGCCTGGGCTGACCGGAGGCTCAGCAGCACTGGGGTGGGGTGAAGAGTAGCAATACCTTCACTGCCGCCTCTGGAGTCGCTCCGGAAGACACAGTGCTCCTCCTTGATGAAGTGCCCGCTCAGGACGATGTCCTGCCGCCTCTCCCCGTCCTCACGGCCCACTCTGTGGGGAACAGGGGGAGCACAGTCATCAATAACCAGGGCACCCAGGATGCCACCTGCTGGCTCCCTCCCCACTTCCCCTGCAGCCTCCAGGGACACCTACCTGGGCTTTAATGGGAAACACCCAAGATGGACATGAGTGGGGGCACATGGAATACCCCCAAACACAGCCAATCCTGGGAGAGCCCTCGGCCCAGAGTAGCCAGAGCATCACTTCCAGGAAACATGGATGGGCCCTCACCCCCACTGCTGCCCCACCCATGAGCCTGCTCCACCTGGTGAGCCCACCCCACCAATGAGCCACCCCACCTGTGAGCCCACCCCACCTATGAGCCACCCCACCTGTGAGCCCACCCCACCTGTGAGCCCACCCCACCTGTGAGCCATCCCACCTGTGAGCCTGCCCCACCTGGTGAGCCCATCCTTGATATAGTAGAGGAGGCACTCAGACATCAGCGGGTCCTCGTTCAGGTTGACAAGATGCGGCGTCTAGGGAGAGAGGAGGGTCACCTGTCTTGCAGGGAGCAGGAGCCCAGCACTGGCTGCCTACCTGACCTCTCTCCCTGGGCACCAGACCACCACCAATGCTGGGCCTGGCCTCGTGCGGGACACAGGATCCTTCCAGCTTGGCAGGAAGGCCCGGACACATGAAGGAAAAGTTTCCCAGAGGAAGAGCCTTTGACGGGGACTCCACAGACTTGGAGGGGACAGCCAGGCAGCAGGCTGGGTAGGGGCTCAGCCTTGGCACTCAGGGGGAGCTGGGCTTCGGGAGGGACTGGGAACCCAGCTCTCAGCACTCAAGGGCCCAGGGGCGCTTGGAGTTGTGGTGGGCACCCAGGAGCGAGGGCTCCAGTGGGTACTCGAACCAAGGAGTACAACTCTGGCCGAGAAGGCCTCAGACCCTGGCAGTGGGAGCAGAGAGGTTGTGAAAGTCTCCATCCAAGTCGACAACCCCCCACCATGCCTCTCCTGTCCCTGGTCGAGCAAAACACAGTCCAAAGCCAAGGTGACCATCTCCCCCCAGTGGCCCCTGTCTAAGTACTGCCCTGGACTCCCTGCTCCACTCTGTCCCCAGGGCAGCTGCTGCAGGCTCTGCCCCCTGGGGCCCGACGCCCCACCTCCATTCCTCTGATGCTCTCCCCCTGTCCCTCAGCTCAGGAACCACCACACTGTGTCCTGGGCAAGAGTCCTGCAACAGGCAGAGGCTGAGCCGGCTTCCTCAGTTTCCCACCTGACACCTTGGGGCGTACTGTCCCCACCCAGAGCTGTAAGTCCCTCAGTACCCCACTCACGCGCCTGTGCAGGGCTGTGAAGACCTGGTCATCAGACTCTAGGACAAACCATCCCCAGCCACCCCAGCCCGGAGCAGGCGTGTGTGGAAGGGCTGTGCTTGCCGGCTGGGCTAAGTGAGGGGACCCAGAGTCCCAGGAACACTGCGGTTCTCAGGAGGAGGTGTCTGCAGTGGTCCCCAGGGTCGTCCTCCATACCCAAGGCGACTAATGAAGCAAAAGAACTGCAGGGCACCCAGCACCCTGAGGCCCCTGCACCCACAGCTCCACAAGCCAGCCTGCGGGCGCCCCACCCCTCCAGGAAGGAGCAGGGCCTGAAACAGCCCAGGAACAACACACTCCAGAAAACCAAGGCCTCTCCAGAAGGGATGTGAAATAAGACCCCATCAAGGCCCTGCCTGCTCCCCACTCTGTCCCAGGTCCCCCCAACACCCCTTCCTCCTGCCTGTCAGCATGCACTGTCCCCCAGCCTGGACTGTGTGGGGGCAGAAGCCCAAGAAGCCTGGTCCCATTCCAGGGAGCCCACCATACCAGTGCCCTCGGCTCCTCTTCCCTTGGAGCCCCCAATGGCTCAACGGGGGCTTCAAGGACTGGCAAACACAGAATCCATTTGCCCCAAACAAAGCTGGGGTGAAAAGCCGACCACTGGGGGCTGCACTGTGGGAGGAGGCCCGGTGCCTCCTCACCAACAAGGTGGCAGGGGCAGGGCCTGGAGAGAAACTATGTCACTGCCTCCAGGGAGGCCCCCTGGCTTGGAGATCTGCTCCTAAAGGCTTGAAGGATCTGGCAATCTTTGGGGTGGGTGGTGGTGTCTGGGTCCTAGAATCATCAGAGACTTTTCCCCAAATGCTCCATCTGAGCATCGGAGCGGGGACTCCGTTGGAGGGCTCCCAGCTGGCAGACCCTGAGACCCTGCCTAAGACAAGGTCTGGTGAGCATGCACTCTGCTGAGCTCTGAGAGGGAACTGACTCCCAGCCCCATGTCCGGCCCCTCCCTGTCTGTGGGCAGCACAGGCTCCAGGTAGGGTCCAGCCTGAGTCTGGTTCCCAGTGTCACCCTGACCTTGACGAGCACCCCAGCCCACTTCCCAAGGCTATAGGGATGCCCCGCCCTGAGGAGGGGGGCTGGGTCTCACACAGGGAGGGCCCGTCTGTGGTGGGTGTGGGCCCTCAGTGCCTGGACCCCCTGCTGTACTCCCACTCCTTCTAGAAGACTGAGACCCCTCGAAGGCTGCAGGGGGCCCAGGCCTGTTCAAGCCGGGCCCCACAAAACGGGGACCTGCTCCTACCTTTTTGGGAGAGAACACACCCAGAGTGCCGCCATCCTCCCTCATGGCCACGCCCATCTCGGCCAGCAGGGCTTCCCTGGAGGGAAGAATGGGGGTTAGCTCAAACCTCAAGAGGCCACAGGACCTGCCTCCCCGCAGGTGACCGGGAGCCAGTGGTGCTCCGGCCACATAGTCTAAGGCAGAGCCCAGGCAGTGACCCATCTGGCCAGTGAGTTAAGGTGTCTGCTTGGAGGTACAGATCACCTGATCAGGTCCGTGGGACCACAGGGACAGGACGTGGGGGTCACCAGGTGAGAGCGGATGGGTCTGCCGGAGCCCACGCTGGAACGCAGAGCTGTGCTGGCCCTGTGTCCCCACCACCCACCTCTCCATCCGGATGGCTTCCGTCCGCCGAAGCTTTTCCTCCCAGGTCTCGTTGAGTTCGGCTATGATCTTCTCTGTCTCCTGGGGGGCGACACGGAGCAGAGCGAGGTCAGGGGCCAGGCAGAGGGGAGACGAGCAGGGCTGCAGAGCACCAAGACCCCCGTGCCCAGTCCACGCTGGAGCTTGATTTCTGAAGGATCCAGGGCTGAGGGGTAGTGTGAGCTCAAAACTGTGTGCTTGCCTCTGGACACGCCCAGGGAACGGAGTAAAAACAGTGACCCCGGAGGGAGAGGCGTGGGCTGGTTCTGATGCACAGATGCTATCAACACTTCCTGTTTGCTTCCAGCCCCACATGCTGGTGGGCCCCACACCCATGGGGGGGCCCCAACACCCATGTGGGCCTATGCCCAGGCCCCCCGCCCGCTGCTGCCCACCCTAGCCTGGAGTCTGACCTCTGTGCTTTTGAACCCTAAACCCTTCCGTCTCCAAGGTCTGGGCTCACCCTGCACCCAGGAAAACAGGACAGAAAACCTAAAACCAGCCTGGCTCGTTGCAGCGGGTGAGGGAGTGACTGTGGGCACAAGGGGACCAGAGGGCAGAGGCTCACAACCACAGAATAGCCAAGAGGGGAGGCAGAGCCCCCAGGACACCCACCACCCTGTCAGCAAGTAGGGCCGCGTGGTGCTGGGTGGAGAGCAGTGACAGATGGAGGGGGCGCCCGTGGCACGGCCTCACCTCCTGCCTTTAACAAGAGGGCTCAGCCCTGGGCCCAGAGGAGGGGGCCTCCCCGGGAGGCGAGGCCATGCCCACGGCTCCAAGCTCAGTTTCCCAGGGCCTGGTGCCCACTCTGGCCCTGCCCGCACCTTCAGCCTTTCGATGGCCTCCTCACTGCCCGGGGCAAACAAGAGGCGCTCGTGCAGACTGGACACAGAGGCCGCGCGGCTGGACAGGGCCGAGAGCGAGGATGAGGGGCTCATGCCCACCAGGGCGTTGGTCACTGTGGAGAGATTGTCAGGGGCTTGACTCAACTCCGCCCAGCCACAGTTACGGTCATTGTTGTCAAAGTCAGACAGGTCTACGGGAGGAAGGGAGGGAGAGGGGGGCAGACAGACGGGAGGGAGAGAAAAGAGACACGAGTTGGGAGGTGGGCGAAGAGAAGGCAGAAAACAGAAACTATTAGTGAGGCGCAGCTGCCAGGCGCCGGGCAACACATGCAAGGCCACCTGTCACCCCACACGATGGGCCCTGCCCCCCCCGCCCACCCCCTCTTGCAGCAGCACAGCACCATCAGGACCCCCAGAGCCCCTCGCTCCACTCCCCTGCCCTGGGCCAAGGCCTCTCTGCGTTCCTGGCACCTGCATGCCAAACCCGCGCCACCCAGGCTGCCTTGCAGCCTCTGAACCTGAGCTGCATGAGCTCCATGGTTCCTCCCGCCCTGTCCACTTCCCTTCACCGTCACTGGGCCCTGACACTCATGCTCATCCTTTCTGCTGTGGGCACACCCCTCACCTGGCCCACAATGCATCTCTGAGCTTCGGGTCAAGCTCTGCTGTCCACCCCTGGAGGGACCCTTCAGGAAGCCCCTACTCCTGCACCCCCGAGAGGCTACTCTGAGCATGGAGTATCCCAGCACTGGGCACCCAAGGAGCCCCAGCCACACCAGGGCCCCGAAGGCCCCAGAGTTGGGGCTGTGACACCCCTTAGGCCCCTCCTGGCAGAAGCAGACGTGGAGCAAAGCAGCAGCAAACAGGACAGCACAGGGTACCAGGGAAGCCGAGAGCCCCTCCACCCTTGGGGTCGGGAGGCACTGAACTATGCCCTTGCTCAGGGAGCCAGGCCCAAGGCCAGCAGGGGTCACGGGCGGGGAGGCTCTGGCAGCAATCAGACTCTTGGCATTTCCAGAGGGAAAGGGCCTTGGGGCATGAAGGGCCCGAGAGAGGTCGGGGCCAGGAGCCAGGGACGGACCGGGCCTCCAGCACTGACACTCGGGACGCCCCAGGCCTCTGGGGCACATGGGGGCCAGGAGCCTGAGCCCAGACACTTTTAGTGACACTTTTGTCCCAGCCCCTAAAGAGGGGGTGAGCTTGCCCCTCCCCGCTGTCCCTGGGCCTCGCCCCTCCCGCTGGGCTGCCCCACACCCTGAGGGCAGGTGGCAGAAGCAGGGATGCACAGAGAGCAGCAAGGGGATACACACATTTGGGTCCTCCGGGCACAGTGTTGGCTAAGGGGGGGCGGAGGCGTGGGGGAGGGAGGAGAGACAGAGAAACAGAAGAAGAGGTTTGTCTCAAGAGTCCGGGGCTACCAGTCCCAGGCCGGGCATCAGGCAGGCAGCGCTGGTCTTCAGCGGGGACACAGGGACCCCCGCACCCGTGGCATGCCAACATGGCTTCTGGGGAGACCATCTCTGGCCTGCTTGGGCCAGCACCAAACCCAAACCATGCGGTCCCCCCAGGCCAAGGCCAGTACCCAGGCCTCCCATCCAGGGCAGCTCTGCCAGGAACAAGGCAGGGGCTGGGACTGGGTCAGAGGGACCTCGGTGGCAGCCTGACCCACCCCAGTCCAGGAGGGAATCCCAGGAGGGAGGCCAGGCTGGCCCAGGAGGTCCCTGGGGACCCACAGCCTGGTCCCCCTGCCCAGGACAGGCGGACACAGATACTCACTGTCGGTGATGTCCCCAAGACCCTGGGCATACAGCAGGTCCCGCAGCCGGGTCACCTCATCCTTCAGCTCACGGATCAGTTTGTTGTTGGGGTCCTCGTTGATGACAGCGTTACAGCGGATCTGCTTAGCCCGGTCCGCGTACCTGGGCAGCAGAGGGAGCTGTGGGCTGTGCCCATGCTGGCAGGCCCAAGGGTTTGGGGGGAGGCAGAGCAAGGGCCTGGGGCTTGGGCAGAGCAAAGAGTCACCCCACTGAGAGTCAATGGGGCCATTTCCCAGAGACCTACAGGTGGGGTCACCCTGCCCTAGCTCATCCACTTAGGGAAACCTAGGCCCCAGGAGAAGGGATGGGGTGGCATCTTCTCCCTACGGAGAGGCCTGGGCTCCTGGACCTCGGTTCCAGGGTGGAGGGAGCCCGTGGGGGATGTGAGAACATCCACGTGTTTGGCTGTCTGAGCCTGAGCCTTGCACAGCAAATGCAGACGTAGGTACAGAGGGGAGCGTGTCCCGTGTCCTTTTTCTCTTTACTACCAGTGGTGCTCAGTCAAAAGGACCCGAGATGCTGACCTGGCTGCTAGGCAGCCTCCTGCAGGGCAGGAGCCGGGGCCCCCCACGAAGGGTACCCGCCTGCAGCCAGGGGGACCTTTAAGACACCTTCACCCCTCTGCTAATTAAAGATCCACGGTGGCTCTCATGACTGACTGGGGCTGCAAGCTGCTCAGCCCACAAGCACAGCTCTCCCAGTCATTTGCACGAGGGCCCTTGGCCACTCGTAGCCCCAAAGTGTATCCCAAAGGGTTATGGGAATGCAGCAGGTCCCATGGAGACCCAGGCACCCCTGACAGCAATTGGAGTCTCAAGGAGTCCCAGGTGAAATGACCTCCCCAAGAGGCACCCCTCTCACAGGTGTTCCTGACTTGGGCAGGGAGGGATCACTCCCACCCGAGCCTGGTTGGGGCGCAGGGCCCGCCTCCCTCAAGAACACACCTCAGCGTGCTCAGGGTCTCGTCGTAGTTGATGTCTGCAGGGCTCAGGGCCGCCACCATCGCCGTCCTCGAGTTCCCACCTGTGGGAAGAAGACCAGGCCATGCAGGTCAGCCCACGGCCTTGTTCTCCCTCTCGGTCCCCTCCTACATTTACAGCTGGGGGGGGGGGGGGGGCTGAGGCTCAGAGAGGTAAAGAGAATCATGGGCCAACTGGGTGGCACAGAGGGGCTCTAGGATGCAGCCGAGAAAGGCCGGGGACCCGCTGTCCATGTTCATCAGGCCAGCCCAAGCCTCAGTCTATCTCCCTAGGCATCCACTTCCCCCGCTGGGGAGGACCCCCGAGTTTATATTTGGGTGAGAGGCATTTCAGTCTCCATCTCCCCATCTACTGCTACTGGTTACAAACTCAGGCAGAGAGGAGAAGGGGTGATTTATGGCAGCTCCCCAAAACCCAGCAAGCAGAGTCCCGGGTCCCTGTCATAGAAGGGGAAACCAAGGCCCAGAGAGGAGTGGGTACTTGGTCTGGGTGTCACAGGCCCGAACCAGGAACCCTGACATGGGTGGGTGGGTTCTGTGGCCTGTGGACCATCCTGGTTCCCCACACTTGTGGTCAATAACCTTTCTCTGGCCACTGTCCCAGGCCCTCTGAAAGGACCCCCGAGGTTCACCTCAGTCGTGGCCCAGAAAGGAACTAGGCCTCCTGGTGGCTGGGCACCCCTCCAGGCAGGAAGACGGGGCAGTGGCCCAGGCTGGGAGTTAGAACCCCAGGGTTGGGCGAACCCACCAGTCCTCACCCAGGTTCTCCCTGAGGAGCCAGGTCAGCACAGAATCTCGGTAGGGAATGAAATCTGTCTTCTTCTTTTTCTTGTTCTGTGCGGGAGGAACATTCAAGGTCAACCCTGAACTCATGGAGGACGAGGGGCAAGCACAGGTGGTCCCCAAAGCCAAGGCTGCCGTGGGGGGCAGGGCTGGGCCAGCTCTAAGGCTTCTCCACACCTGGGCCCAGGGTGCCCCGCCAGGCGCCTCCCCCAGGGCTGGAATCAGCGACTTGCTGCACCTCCCTCAGGTCCCTCGCTTGTCATCCCCACTGTGTCTGGGTCGCACAGCGGGACCCGAGCCCAGGCGTGCTGATGTCCCGGCTGGTGTATCGCCCTCCTCCCTGTCAGACGGGCCCATCTGAGCCCCTCCTCAAACACCAGCAGTGGCTCTGCTGACTGAAATACAAGGCCCCACTGCGAAGTGTGGCATCCGGCCTCCGCCAGCCCCACAGCTTACCGCTCCCTTCCACACAGCACTCACCCTCATGTCCATCGAACTTCCCACCTCCCTTCAGAAGCCAGGTTGCAGGCCCTGCTTTCATACCTGTGCCCCTCCCTCCCGTTAAGAAGCACCCTCCACACCGTCTACCCCAGTGGCTCTTTATTCCTCTAGTAAGGCAAATCCACTCAAAATGTGGACGCCAGCCCATATAATGGCTGCGAGAATCACCTCGGTGGACCCGCCGTGACTGACGTAGTGACTCCACTAATCATTAATATCTAGTTACTTTCCAGTGTCGGCTCTTTTACATGCACAGCTGCTTAAGAAGTATTTGTGGCCCTAGCTGGGTTTCTCGGCCCTTGGACCAAAGGGTCTTGGGTTCAAATTCTGGTCAAGAGCACTGGGTTGCAGGCTCACTCCCTGGCCCCGGTCAGGGCATGTGCAGGAGGCAACCGATTGATGTGTCTCCCTCACATCGATGTTTCTCTCTCTCTCTGTCTCTATTCCCCACCCCTCCTCCCTTCCTTCCACTCTCTAAAAATCAATGGGAAAATATCCTTGGGAGAGAATTTTCAAAAAATATTTGTGGAGCCCCCATAGTGGCCAACGGGCACGGCCCCTGCCCCCAGAGCCCCTCCCATGGACACTCACAGGTGCCCCTGCAAGGAGCCAGGCCATTTCTCTGGGGCCAACACATTCGTCATGGCTTTTTAGGATGATCCCCAAGAGGAGCTCCACAACTCTCAGGGGACAAAGGGTGGAAGCTCTCGAGACACACCGTCAAGGGGGTTTTAGGAACGCTGGGCCGGCTCTGTGAGCCAGTTTGAGCTCCAAGCCATCAGTACTTTGGGCTTCCTTTTCTCCTTTGGAAACCTGGTGGGTGAAAAGCTCCATTCCTACTCTTCTTTACTTAATTCCTGAGGCTGAGTCTCTGCCACATTTGTCCTTGTCGCCACAGTTCATGCCCTACAATCACTCAGTTACCTCACCTTTGCCTTTTGCTGCTCCCTCACCAGTGCCCGTCCACCCACCAGCAGCCCTTGCTCTGCCATGCTCAGCAACTCCCAGAACCACCCACCGCCCTCCCTCTCCTCGGCCTTCCCAGCCTGCACCGTCTTATTCCTAGAAGGTCAACACAGTTGTTCGTATGGAAAGAGACATGCAGGCTATGACTATTACGATAGCTTTAGTAACTGTTTCACACTCACAACTATAATCCTACTTTTGCACACCTCTATATTCTTCCTTATCTGTTTCTATTATCTGCCTCCTGCACTGCCCAGGCCCCAGAAGGCCTATGTTGCTCTCCTAGCTCATTGCCTAGCTCAGAGTTGGGCGCAGTGTGTTTGCTGGTTAAGTACACAAATGAAGGGGTGAATTCTACTGCCGCAGCCTTCGCGAGGGTAGCCTGAGCTAAGGGCACTGTTTGCTTCTAGCCCCTCCGCATCAAGGACTGAAGACGCCTCCCCACCGGAACTGAAGCAAGCAGCTCACCTTATTGGGCCCAGAGTCCTGAAAAGGAAAAGACAGAAAGAGTCTGAGGACCTGGAGCGAGACTGGGGCCCCAGGGTGTGTGAGGAGAGGGGGACGGGCTGGCTCCAGAGGGCAAAGGAGCAGGGAAGACCTGAGCACATGCCAGGAGTCCATCACTCGCCGCCCGGCCATCGCTGGCCACCCTGAGCTGGGCCTGGGAGTCAGACCAAACGATAGTGCAGCCTCTCGGGCTGCTGCCCCCCATCAGCCCTTCCCTCCATCAACAACTTCAGAGGGGGGCAGGGTCTCCGGAGATTTGCCCATCCCTGGCTGAAGGCCTGGGTGTCTTGGTGAGTGGGCAATACTGCCTGCCCTGTGGGGCCCATCAGACCCAGTCCCTCACCTCCAAGGGCCATGGGCTCCCTCCTGGAGGATGGCCCGGGTGGGGCTAACTGAGGTCGGAGCTGACACAGCCCTGCCCTCCGAGAAGGATGCCAGCCAACAAGCTCACCAAAGCTCATGGTGACCCTACGAAGGGCCCTGGGAGGAATACAGCTCACCCCAATTTTACAGGTGGGGACACTGAGGCTTCAGGAAGTGACTCCATCTGTAGCCTAGTGACACCCCACCCACATCTCTGGGCTTCCCTAGAACCCCGACAGGATCCCAGCATCCCCCGAGGAAAGCAGGACAGGGCGGCCCCTCCATGGTCTGCCCCATCAGCCTCGTCCTAGAAGCCCGAGCCCGCTCACCATTTCAGCCAGAGCAGAGATGACCTTCCCCAGTGTAGTCAAGGACTTGTTGATATTGGCTCCCTCCTGTGGTGGAGAAGATGGTCGGGACATTAGGAATCCTCGGGAGCCTGGGGCCTGACCCATGTGGGGTGGGCTGAGACCACCCAGCCAGGACTGTTGACCCTTTAGGCTTTTAGGGGGTATGGGAGCCTCCGACAGGAGGCCGATCCGAGGCCAACCTGGCCGGGCAGGTAGTGCATTTTGCCCAGAGTTCTCCTGGGCTTCCTAGAAATCCTAGTAACACCCGACACGTGCCCCACCTGGAAACATTTCCAGAGCCCCATCCCATCCATCAGGTAACAGTGGGGACCAAAGGGGGGCTCAGGGAAACAAAAACTCTCTTTCCTGACACTCAAGGCTGCTTGACCAGAGGTATCCCCTCAGGACCATGGCCGGCCAGCTCACTGCCCCTCTCACAGCTGCCTCGCAGCCTGTGTTCTTCCGGTGGGAAAGCGCAGACCCCAGTGGCGAGGTGCTGTGGGGCCCACAGAGGGCCCAGCTTTCCTGCCAGGTTGTCTGCCTGCTGGCCTTCTCCCATCTCTTCACCTGTGCCCCCCCCCACCCACCCAGGCTCACCCTTGGGGGTGGCCCCAATACCTCCCTCCAACCCCAAGGAGGGCTGAGCCCTCCTGCCTGGCCCAACCTGGACCAAGTCAGGATTGGAGACTTGACCCCGCCTTTGAGTAGGGCAGCAGGTGACGCGCTGCTCTCCGTGGGCACAGCGGCTGGGCCCCTACCTTGAGCCGCGTGCCCTTCGCTCCTGTGGAGTCAGCCCGCTCGCTCCCAGCCAAGTCCACGAGGCTGATTTTGCTCACCTGAAAAGGCAAATGTGTCAACTGCAGAAGATGCCATGAGGCTGCCATGGGGCACCCTTCTTCTCTGGGCACCGCCTAAAGGGCCCACCCGCGGAGCCACGACCAAGCCCCACCCTGGGGGTCTAAAAGTCTGTGGCCCTGCGTTCCCTCTGCACCTCTGTTCGCAGCTCTTCTGACACTACCTGAGGTTTGAGGCCACCTCACCTCACAGGCTGCAGGCCCCCCACCCGAGCACCAGGGTTGCGGCCACACTGTTTTCTGCACACTCGATGCTCTTCATGTGTTTGTGCGTGGACTCCCCACAGCACCCATGAGGTGGGTCCCTCACTAGCACCCATTTCCACAGACAGGAACTTTGCCTGTGCTGGGGTTTAAACCTGGTTCCAGTGCCCCAGCCACTGCTTGAATTCCTCGTGCCCGGGGCAGGGGGCCCCAGTACACTTCCCTGGCCTAGGGCAGGTGGCCACCTGCATTCAGAGGAGGCCAAGGCCCTCTTGAACATGGCTACTGAGGGCAAGTCATCCAGATGTCAACAGGCCCAGACATCAGGGGACCCTCTCGGTACCCTGCAATCACGCTGACCCGTCCCTGCCCTCCAGGCCCCATTGGACTGTCATGAGCCTCCAGGAGGGTAGTGCCTGGCCGAGGTGACCCCAGCACCACCAGGTCTAAGTGGCACTATTTTCCCTGGCCCTCTGTGGATCCTGGGGTGCTGCCTGAGAGAGCCGGCCCTCCAGGAGGTGGCTGAGGTGCCCTGGGAGAAGGCCTGGATATGGGGGTTAGGGAGAGGCACAGTCAGAGGGAACCCGGCGCTGTAGGGCACAGCTACTGGTGGACGTGAACAGGCTTGGCACCGGCCCTGCTGCCCCTTTCCGGAGCCCACAGATGCGTGTCGGGATAGAGGCCTCAGAAGAGGACCCCCCCTGCCCGGGTCCACAGAGCATGCCACGGCACGTGGGAAAGGCATCTGGGGCTGTGGGCAGTGGGGCAGGGTGGTGCCCGCTCAGCACAGCCTCTCCTTTGTGCTCGAAGATGCCAGTGCCCACGGTCACTTCTGTGACAGGCACTCACTCAAGCTGAGACCTCCTGGCCTCCATTGCTGCCTCCGCGGGTTGCCCAGGCATCCTGGGCCTGTGGGGCTGTGCTGGGGTGCAGCTCTGGGGACATCTCAGCCCCCAGTCTCCACCAAAACCATCTGGTAGGAGAGTCCATGGCCCCTCCACCCCAACTCCTTTCCACACCCAGGTGGCACCAAACGCCCAGATGAGGCGGCCTCCCAGGTCTGGCCAACCTCTCACCAAGGGGTAGAAGTGCCTGGTACCCGGTGTGAGGTCGCTGCCCATGCCTCCCAGGCCAGTGTGTGGCTTGGCCTCCTCATCCTGCCTGACCGGCCGGACCCATCCGCCTGCCTGATGTCACCAGCACCAAGGCCACGCTCACTTTCTCCGTGGTGATGTCGGTCTCCGCATCGTGGCGCTTCTGAGTGAAGATGATGTTGAAGACGGCGTGGGAGCGGCTGCTGGTCTCATTCATGTTCGTGGCGGCGACAGTCCTGAGGGGACAGAAGCCACGTGTGGTTACCCACCCTCCTGTGGTTGGGCATTCAGGTCACCAGTGGTGCCAGTCCCCTGGGCCAGGTCATGGCGTGTCAGCTCCCCTGGGTTCTCAGAGCTGCCCCGCTGGTGACCATGCCTCCTGTCAGAGCAACAGGGCCCACACACCCTTGTCTACAATGTCCATCATGGGACCCTCACCCCCCAGCTCCAGCCTGGTACTTGGGGTGCTGTGACTGGGGGTATACCTCTACTCCCGGGTGCTCAGCAGAGCCAGGTATTGCTCACTCTATAAGCTGGGCAGGAGCCCTCACGGCTGTGATGTGGGAAGCCCCAAAGCCACCGACAGGCAGAGACCTCAGGGAAGTGTCCCCCGATAGGCTCCCTGTCTGACAGCCCACAGCACGAGGGGCCTCATCAGAACAGCGCCCCCACAGGACCACAAATGAGGGTTGGCAGTGACCCACAAAGGGAACCCTAACCCTCCAGGAGTCCCTGGGTGATAAAGAGGGGGACTGTTGTCATGACAACCAGGCAGTGAAGCCCAGGAAGATGGGCTGCTTTTGGCCGGCAGTGCCTACAGCTGACACTTCCCCATGAGCTCCTGCCCAGAGCCCTATCCACAGGCCCCATTTACCCTCAGAGCAGGTGGGCCAGACCTCAGTCTCCTGGTCACTGGGCCCAGCAGGCCAGCTGCCTGTAGGGATGACCACCTGGGGCAGCGGCCACAGATGGCACCGGCACTTCCCCCCGCAGGGTGCACAGCCCACCCCCAGGAGGAGCAGCCCACCTATAGGATACAGTGTCCCCCTGTGCAGGGAGCTGGAGGCCCCCAAGGCCCACACCTCCTCAGGGAAGACAACAGGTGCCCCAGGGACCAACCTTCCTCACAGAGACTGGACGCTGTGGGCAGAGTGGGGGTTAGAGGGCAGAGAGGGTGGGTGAGTCACCCCACAACACCTGGCCTTGTTCCCTGAGTCCATGAGGTCCTGGATGTCATTGTAGGAGGTGACGGCCAGCTTGGAGAGGTCCTCCACGTACGGCCCCAGCAGCGGGTGCTCCCTCACACGCAGGTTGCCCTTGTTCTTTGGGTTCAGGAGGTCGCGGACACGCTCACAGTAGATCTCCATGTAGCTGACCTGCAGGGCAGAGACACTTGTGTGGGGGCCACCATCAGAAACCCCAAAGATAGGTGTGGGGACAGTTATCAGAAACACTCGAGATGGGAGGTGGAGCTGTCGTCAGGGACTCCTGAGGAGGGGGTATTAGGAGATGTGGGGGGTCACTACCCAAGAACCTTGAGGAGGGAGTGCAGGGGCCACCATTAGAGACTCTTGGGGTAGGGAGTGTGGGTACCACCCACTGGGTAGGGGGAGGTGTGCAAAGGAATCCAAGGTCCTGCGTGAGTGTGTGCATTGGGGGTGTCAGCGGCTCATTGCACACCAGCTGAGCAGAGGACTGCCCCTCGCTCCCCTGCGCCCTGCACATCTGTGGCCTGAGTGGGTGTGGTGGCATGGTTGCCACATGTGCAAGCGAGTGACAAGCTAAGGGATGGGGACTCACTATACACCAGAAAAGCATTGCTATCCGTGCCTAGAACCCCAGTCATGTCTGGAGGACCAGATGCTGGGCGGGGACCCCTACCTCCACGGAGTAGGACATGTTGTCATTGGTCGTGTCGTTGATGCGGGAGAACAGGTCCTCACAAAGCTGTAGAGACCCAAGGCACAGTCAGATGATGAAGGCCCTCCCTCAGGGTGCCATGGGTTGCCTGCGCCCAGGCTAGCCGTTGTTCTCCTGGCCCCTCTCACACCCTCACAGTTCATCTTGAAGGCACTGAGAAGGCCTGCAGGCGAATGAGCTGCTGTCTTCTGCTTAACTCAGTGGTCCCCTCATTGATATCTGGCCTTTTCTCACGTATCATCTGCTCACACTGTCCTGCTCCTCCGGCCATCCTTGCCTGCATGGGGTGGGGGTCTGCCATGTTACAGACCACCCCGTGTTCTCTGCTGCCCTGACCAGGTCAAGCACTGAGCAGCTCAGATCCAGAAGCCCACCCAGGGGCTGGGCCGGGGTGGGTCCCAGCAGTATCTGAGGCATCTGCATCTCAGCCTTCAGTTAACCTGGGCACCTTTCCCTCCCCAGACCACCAGTCCTCACAGCCCCCAGGGGAGGGTCACTTCCACCAGCGGGTCTCCCAGCTGCCCCTGCTGCTCTGTGGTCCCTGTCATCACTGGGTCCTGCCACCCATCACCTGTGCCCTCCCTGCCCCACATGCCTGCGGGATGATGCCCTGTTGGTCTTTTTCCTGCTTGCCCATCATGGTGTAGGACTTGCCGGCCCCCGTCTGGCCGTAGGCGAAGATGCAGACGTTGTAGCCCTCGAAGGCGTGCTGCAGCATCTCCTCGCCGATGTCCTGGTACACCTGCTTCTGCGACGCATAGTTGATGTCCTCGGGCTGCAGGATAAGAGGGGCTGCAGCTGCAGGAGTCGGGGGCACTGTGGGCTCAGCCCACTATGTTCCCCGAGGGCCCACATCATATCCCGGGAACCTCCAGGGCAGGAAGAAATGTGGTCATCGCCTCATTTAGAGAGGAACATGCAGCTCAGAGAGGCCTAGGGACTGGGTGTGGGCCACACAGCAGGAGGGGCTGAGCGGTGTCCACACAGCTGTGGCCCACCTCCCGTGGACCCCCAGCTCGGGCTTACCGAGGTGTGCGACCAGTAGGAGTAGTCGAAGCTGAAGCTTTTGGGCGTCTCCTTGGGCTGTTTGGGGTTAACGATGGCTGTGGGGAGGGAGATGGGTGTGGTGGTTAGCGCTTTGCTGCATCTCCACTGTGTGTCCGGGAGTGCTGGCTGCGTACCCGCCCCCGCAGGGACACAACTTATTCTCTTCCCATCTGTGCCCTCTCAGGTTCTTTCCAGGTGTGAGCTCATAGCTCTAAGGACTGTCCCCTCACAGGTCTCTCCCTTCTCCCTCACCGAGCTGCACCCCGGCCTGGCTGAGGCCTTGCTCGCGAGTCACGGAACATCAGTTCACAAACTAGGAAGGAAGCCACAAACTCAAGGTGAAGCGATCACCCACCCTGGCGCCTGCCAAGTGTGCCAGGAGACCCCTCCCCCCAGTCCAAGGCTGCTTCACCCCAGGACTGGGCCTCAGTCCCCAGCGTTTCCCAGACTCCGAACCTAGCAGGCAGTGGGTCCTCAGTGGCAGGAGGGACCTCGGCCCCAACCCTGTCAGGCCACCCTGCCTGCTGCCCACTGTCTGAACCCGAAATGTCCATGTTGATAGAGGACCGTTAGACCCCCAACGTCCCACCCAGCTGGAGGCAGATCCCTCCAGGGGATCCACCAGGAACTCGGACCAGTCCCAGTCATCAAGGCTTCAGGCACCCCTAGGAGGCCACTCCCCCACCCCCATGTTTGGGGATGGAGGCCACGATTGCTCACCATCACTGATTCTCCCCAGGGACAACTGGCTGGGGCCCTCACTTTCCTGGGCACGGCACAGCCTTCAGGACCCCACACCCCTGGCCCTACCAGGTGACCTGTCACCAGCATCGAGAAGCAGACCCCTCGAATTCATATGTGCACGTCCTGACCCCTGGGCCTCAGAATGACCTTATTTGGAGGTGGGGTCCTTACAGATGTAACTGGTTAAGATGAGGTCATACTGGAGTCAGATGGCCCTAATCCAACATGACTGTTTCCTTATAAAAGGGGACATTGGACACAGACATGCACACAGGGAGCAGGCCATGCAAAAATGGAAGAGGGATGCAGCGATGCGGCTGCACGCCAGGGACTGCAAGGACTGCAGTGGCCGCCAGGAGCCGGAGAGGCAGGGAGCAGATTCTCCCTCACAGCCTCTGAGGGAACCACCTGCCCACACCTAAGCTCGCACTTCCAGCCTCCAGACCTGATGTCCAAGCCTCCGTGTGGTACTTTGTAGGGAAGCCCTGGAAAGCCAACACCTCCGCTCAGGCTTGCCAGGCTCCTGCAGCTGCCCCAGGCCCGGTTCCTGGGCAGGCCCCTCGGCTATTTGCCCTGGCTGAATGTCCTGCTCACAGCATGGGCATCAAATGAGGCCCCATCCCCAGGGCTGACCTGGCTTTGGGCTCCAGACCCCAGGCTTGAGCACTTCTGGGAGATGACCTGGTGTCCTTGGGAAGCTACAAGAAGGAGAAGGCGACTGACCATCACATCCCTGTCCTCGCAGCCAAGAGGGGGTCACATCCATGCTGCCTCCAGGAGCCAGGCCCAGCGGAGAGCAAGCTGCCCTGGCTTCACCTCCTGAGACTTAGGGGCTCGGCCATCACAACCCCAGTGCAGATAATGCGGGCGCCGTAGAAACAACAATCACCAGCCCTCTTGACATGGGCAGCCTAGGCTGGGCCTCCACTGGGTCCCCTGGCAGCAAGTGGCCAGGTCCCTGGCTCACCCGACAATGCCTCACCTCCATGACCTCATCTCCGCCCCTTCCTGCCTGTAGGCCAGGTTCCCAGGACAGGCCCGAGCCCCGTCCTGCTCTCCCATCCCTGGCTGACCCCCACACCGGCTCTCTGAGCAGCCTGGCCCCATCCCCACACTCCCATCCATCCTGCTCTCTTCACCCACATCACACTGGCCCAACCCCAGGTGCTGACCTTGCTCTGATGGTGTCCTGGTGCTAGCATGTTTGTATACACTCACATGGACCATGAGCTCCCTGAGGTGGGAGCCCACACAGGGCCAGGACACAGGTGTGCTCAAGGAACTGTGGGTGGGCTGGGACAGCTGACAGGCAGGTCAGAGGGAGGGGTACGTGCTAAGGAGAACCTGCCGTGGAGACCACTGGGCAGAGCTGCTCTGGCCCTCGGGACCTGCCCCCAGCCCCTGCCGACGGGTCCCCTGGTGTGGCTGACCCCCCTGGAGGTCCTGTGGTGTCTGAGAAATGCCCTCTGTCGTTACAGATTCTGAAGTCAGAGGGGTCGTGCCCTCCCCGGGTCACAGGGCACACAGCCAGACTGGACCCAGGGTCCACCCAGACCTGGCTCTCTACTGTCACCCCTGAGCCCTCACCAGGGTGACCTGCCAAGGCCGGCCGGACAGGCACCCCCCTCAGCCTGCTGCACGCAGAGAGGAACAGCTTTGCTGAAGAACGGCCTTCCCTTGCAGGGTCCCCGGTTCTCCTTGTGGACGTTTGAGGAGAGGAAGGAGAACAGCTCTCCAGGCACGCTGGGCAGGCGGCTCAGGGACAGCTTCCTGAAATGTCCCACGCCCCCCAGCCCTGCCCAGGCTCTGCAGGAGCCACAGAGGGGGCAGTGCCCCAGGGTCAAAGACACAAGCTGTGGGGAGGCCAGCTTGAGTTGGGAGGCGAGACCAGGAGGAAAGGAGTCAATGGCAGCCACTGTCTGCCTGCATGCCCTGCAGTCTTCAGCTGCACCCCAGGCAGAGATGCCGGTACCTCCAGCACAGCGGTGTCCGGCGCTCAGAATCTGTGCGCCTGTTGTTAAACCCTAGGTGGCCTGAAACTGGCTGTGGGGAGAGTGTTCACAGGACAGAAACTGGTAAACATAGGCGTGTGTGTGCGTGTGTGTATGTGTGCGCATGTGTGTATGTGTGTGTGTGTGTGTGTGTGTGTGTGTGTGTGTGTGAGCTAAAGAAAGAGAGATGCGTGCTATTTTACCAGGTCACTGCCCCAGACTCACAGGATTTAGGAGGAAGCCTAGCTGAAGCAGAGACCAAAACCTCAGTGGGGTTCCAGCGAAGCATTACCTCAAACCCAGGCACTTGCCTGTCAGCACAGGAGACCCTCCCATCCTCTGATGAGGAAGCCTCCTTTCTGTTGATCTAATTTGCCTCACATGCCCCACACACCTCAGCAAGTCCCCCTGCCCTGTCACTGCACCCTACTTGACCCTGTGGGGCGGGGCCTGTGGCACAGGCCGGTCTAGTTCTGTCTCATTGTGCACATGCATGCATCATCCATCACTCCACCAAGCATCAGCCTGGGGGCAGCAAGTACCCAGGGCCTAGAGTGCAGCCTGGCACGAGCTCAGGCTCAGCAAATGTTGGCTGATGAGTTTCCCCACCTGTGCTGTAACAGACAGTCCTCATTCCTGTGGGACTACAGGGACAGCAGATGTGGGTCACCACTGTGACCTCTGCCAGTGAAGAGCCCATCTTGACTCTAACGGGTTGGCCTCCAGGGTGAAAGTAGCTCAAGTCCTCTGAGCTGTCCCCGGATGGTTCAATCAGGGTGTGCCAAGGGCATGTCGGCCTGGGGCCAGCCAATGACAGCAGGCCCTGGGCCCTTGGCTTAGCTGCTGTCCCCGTGCCCGTGGCTGAGCTGCTGCCCAGGGTCCTGCCAGCCTCCCACATCATGTGTCTCCAACCCCTCGTCTAATGAAAAGGCCTGCAGAGTGTGGCCACCTGCTCGGCCACAGCCATGCTTCCTTCTGGGCTCTTCCGTGTCCAGTGCAGCTCTATTTGGAGCCCAGAACATTCTAGAACAGTGATGGCAAATGGGGGCTGACTTCTCAGATGAGTTAGGCATTGAGGCTGCACAGGTTGACAGAGGCAACTACCAGTGTCCGCATGGGCAAAGAGGGCTTCCGCTCAGACGGTGAGCTCTGCCCACATCTGCACCCAAGCAGCAACTCACTACAAATGGGTGTGACAATGGAGCCAAGGGGGTCTGGGAGGCATCCTCTCTTCCGCTCCGCAGCCGGACCCTGTGTGCTAAGGACCCCTCAGGGTGTGTCTGCCTTTCTGACTTTCTTGAATTTGCCTCTCTCCTCCCACTTCCTACGCACAATGTTGACTCCAGGCCTCCCACTTCTCGGAAGGTTCTGAGATGATTTACAATTATAAACACAGCAAAAGAATAGAAAAAGGAAAACAATTTATGAACCTGGGGCCATTGGAGCAAGACAAGGAATCAGTAACCATGGGTGGAACAGTGTCCCCTAAAATTCATGTCCCCCCTGAACCTCTCAGAATGTGGCCTTATTTGGAAACAGGGTCTTTGCAGGTGTGATTAGTTGTCAAGATGAGGTCACAGTGGAGTAGGGTGGGTGTGAAATCCTTTGATCGCTGTCCCCATAAGGAGGCCACATGATGACATGGACACACCAGCCCCATCAACACCTTGATTTCGGACTCCGGCCTTTAGAACTGTGAGAGAATGCATTTCTGCTGTTTTCAGCCACACAGTTTGTGGTCATCTATTACTGCAGCCCCAGGAGACCTACACACCGTGTGGATGAGAAGCAAGAGCGAGCCGGGCCAGATCAGCCGCTACCTCTGGCCAGGAGACAGGACCCATGGCCTAGCACCAGCAGCAGCCGACAATCCATCGCAGCCCATACTCACTGGTGGTGCTTCCGGTCATCTGGATGATGCACTTGGAGTCACGGCTCATTTCCCGGGAATTGAAGGGGCGGACGCGCACCGCCACCTTCACTGAGGCCCCGGCCATCTCTGCAACCTTCGTGGGTCACTCCTGGCAGTGGCGAGAGCCCCAGCGAGAACAGGAGACACCTTGGGAAAAAGGGAGACGTGAACTGGAAACAATATCTAAAAAGGCAGAAGAGGTGTTTCTGGTTGGCAATTGAACCCACTTCCCACCAAACCCTAAGTGACACCTGCACCAGGTTCCAGCCCACAGGACAGGATTGGAGGGGCAGCTGCAGGGGAGAAACGCCACGAAGTTTAGAAAAGGAAGTCAATGGGAGGCGTGAAGCCTAACAAGAAACAGCCAGTTTGCTGTGGGACCCAGAAAGACTCAGGTTCTCCTGAAGGCCAGTGTCTGGGCGACACCAAAAACACACATTTGTGGAAAGTCACCGGAGGGAGCATTAGACCCTGTTGTGGATTTAACTATGCCCTCCAAACGCACATGTGGAAGCGCTAACCCCCAGGACCTCGGAACGTGACCTTATTTGGAATTAGGGTCCTTGCCGACGTAACTGGTTAAAATGAGGTCACACTGGAGTCGGGTGGGCCCCTAACACAATATGACTGGTGTCCTCATAATAAGGAACATTTGGACACAGACACTTGCAGGGAGGATGTCCGGTGAAGAAGGAGGCAGAGATGGTAATGCATCCACAAGCCCAGAACCACCAAAGATTGACAGTAGCCACAGGAGCTGGGAAGCCCTAGGGCTCATTTCCCTTCCAGCCTCAGGAGGAACCAGTCCTGCCGATACCTTGATCTTGGACTTCCAGCCTCCAGACTGTGAGACAACGAATTTTTGTTGTCTAAGATACATCATCGGTGGTACTTTGTTACAGCAGCCCTAGCAGACTAATGAAGACCCCCAGATCCCCATCCTGTGAATATCGAAAACCCTGCCCCCCACCAGCACTTCCCCCACCCGGCAGACGCCAGAGGCTCTGTCCAGCCTGAAGAAGGGGTCTGAGCACCGGATGAGGGTGAGTGTGAAGCACATACTAAAAAGAAGTGTGAACTGCACTCAAAATGTCCAGCACTGGGACCCCAGCTATTCCTGCTGCTGCTGTGTGCCCAGCGTGCTGGCTGCATGGGAGAGTGCAGGGTGCTTAGCCGGGGAAACTGACAGGGACCACACCCTCTAGCAAGAAATGCAGAGACTAGAACAAACAAAAAAAGGCACACAGCAGAAAGAGACAATACAGGGAAGAGAAGAAAATATTTTTAAATACCTTATAATTAATATCCTCAGCAAGAAAAGTTACCACACCCATGAATCAGTGAAGGATGCTGGGGAGTGAGCTGCTGCAGTGCAGCCAAGACTCCACAGGGCCTGCTCTGTGACAATCCCCGTGAGTGTGAAGGTGACCTTTATGTCCACTTGAAGGTCAACTTCACTCACACTGAGGAAGCAACTCCCCTTAAGGACACAGGCCTGTGGTGGGCTCTGCGCCAGGTCTATGCAGTTCGAGAGGACTGTACCTGGGCGCTAAAAGCCCACAGGCCAGAGGTGAGTGGACAAAGCAGTGCCTGCAGCAAGACTCAGACCAGACAGGAGGGGAGGCGGGACCAGGTCTTCCCTGTGGGAGTGTCCCAGGCTATGGAGATGGGACTCAGGGAGCAGCAAGGTCTGGGCTTGGTGAGGGGGTCCCGCATGACACCCCATCCTTCCCCCTGCAGGGGCATGGCCCTTGGGCACCCCACTGCCTGGCCAACAGGTAGGACAGTGCCCGACTGAGGCACCCAGAGAGAACCCTGGGCAGAGGGGCAGGCTGAGGTGGGCAGGCGCTCCTGTTGGTGGCAGCCCTTGTCCTGCACCAGCCGTCACTGGGCCCTTGGCTCCAGTAGGCCTTGAATGCCAGCGAGGGAACAGTGAGCTTCATCTAGTACAGTAGACGGTGGTCAAGTCCCCATGTGCCCAGATCAGGGCAGGAGTAGAGAGGGGAAGCACCTGGGGGGCTCTGGGGAGGTGCAGGGACGGGAGGCACAGTGCCACCCGGCTCGAGGACAGGGAACGGGGACTGTCACTGTGGGCAACAGCGCAGTCACAGGCATGGAGGATGTCCCATGATGCTGGGACCAGTGCAGAGCTTCAAACCCCACCTGGTGGGGAAAGCGATTCATGGAAATCACAAAGGTACGGAAATCTTTTCACCAAAGCTGCCGCTGCTGAAGACCAGGCAATACACTGCCTGAGCTCCCTGCTGCCCAGGCTGAGTCTGAAAGGGAATCTTCTGCCTCAGCCTCCCTACCTATCATCAGCACCCTCAGGAGAATCTGGCCCAGAGACCCCTTCCAGCGGTGCCCCAGCCTCCTCTCTGTGAGGACAGGGTGGGGACCTCTGGCCAAGCCCTCTGGGGGGACCCCATCATCAAGAGCAACTAGAGAAGCTGAATAAAAATGTTAAATCTGTTTTGAGGAATCAATGAGCTACTGAAGCCACGCAGACTAGCAGGCCAAGATTCCGGAGATGGGGGACTGCCAGGGCAGGAGATGACTTGACATTCCGCAGCACTTTCCCTGGGAGCATATTTGCATTCTGGTCACCAGGCGAGAGGCTGGGAATCTGCAGTCTTCCCAGGCAGAGAGCCGTTGCTGAGGGATGGAGGAACCTGCAGGACCTTTGGTCAAGAGAAACAAACTTGAGAGGCCAAGATCCCAGGAGAAAGAAGTAGAGAATGACGCCAAACAAATGTCCAGTTCTCCCCTTAAGACACATGCCAAGCTCAGAAGGTATGAGGAGTAGAAATTTAAATACTCAAGCAGAAAACTCTGAAAATCAAAGAGTTGTCTCCCATGGTCTCAGGTGCTAAGGAGAAGAGATCAGAGATCAGGATCCAGCGGAGGAGGGGCCCTGGTGATCACACCAGGCCAGATCTGAAAGCCCCGGGAGGCACAGGGCAGAACCATAGGTAAGGTAAGCCGTATCCAAACTGCAGAGGCGCCCCGACTCAGCCGTCTCTGACTGATTTAGAAACGACCCTCCACTCTGTTTTCCTGGAAGAGAAAAGATGCACCACCTGGAACCCCTGCAGTGTTTTAATGGGTAATGTCTGACCTTACAGCAAAAGTTACAAGGCATGAAAAGTGACAGGACTACATGATTCAAAACAAATTGGGGGTGAGGGGAGGAAAGAAAAACACAAAGAGAAAAAAGAAATATACCTACACATGATCCAGACCCAGGAGTTTTCCGAGGACTTTAAAATAACCATGATTTACATGTTCAAAATGAGAGAGAAAAAATGATGAAGAAAATACATGGGAAAATAGAGAATTTATTAGCAAGAGGATTTGAAACTATATATATATAGATAGATAGATATAGATATAGATATATAGATATAGATATATGAATCAAATGGAAATTCTAAAACTGAAAACACAATAACTAAAATTAAGAACTAAAGAGATGTAATGTCCGGTTGGATGGGTGTTGTCCCGTACACTGAAAGGTTGCTGGTTCAATTCCCGGTCAGAGCACATGCCCGGGTTGCAGGCTCTATTCCTGGTAGGGGGCATACAGGAGGCCGCCTATGGATGTTCCACTCCCATATCGATGTTTTTCTCTCTCCATCTCCCTTTCTCTCTCTCTCTCTCTCCCCCCTCTCAATTTTTAAAAAACCTTTAAACATATCTATATATCTATATATCTATATTTATATAGATATATAGATATATATTGTTTTTTACAAAAAAGAACTCAAGAGATTAGACCCAGAGAAAGACTGTGTTTATGAACTGGATGTCAGGTCATTAGAAAGTTAAAGAACACAGAAAAAAGAATGAAAAACACAGAAATGAGAGTCAGAGAAATCTGGGACACCGTGAAATGGTCCAATATGCATGTAATTGGATCATAAGAAGAGAAGGGATGGAATGGGGGGAAGCAATACTTAAAAAGATAATGGCCATTTATTATCTAAAACTGCTGAAGCCTCTCAATCCATTTTCAAGAAGCTGTGCAAACACAAAGGAAGACAAATACAAAGAAAACTACACCAAGCCAGATCACAATAAGATTGCTGATACCAAAGATGAAGAGAAATATCTTAAAAGCAGACAGAGAAAAAAAGACATACAACCTTTAAAGCAGGGGTGGGGAACCTTTTTTTCTGCCAAGGGCCGTTTGGATACTTGTTATTTACAGGCCATACAAAATTATCAGCTTAAAAATTAGCCTGCTATACTTGGTCAAACATTTAATTAACTCACCTCTAATGCCTTGGCAGGGCCAGACCAAATGATTTCATGGGCCTTTTATGGAAAAAGAAACAGAGTCAGATTGACAATCGATTTCTCAACAGAAATGAAGGAAGCCAAAGACGAGGTTCTAAGGTCTCAACATTATCTAGAAAGTAGAAAAGTAATACTTTCTATTAGATTGTCAAGGATACCTGTTTCAATTGCTAGATTAATTATTTTAAAAAACTACAACAAAAAATAATGTATAACTAATAAGTTATTAGCAAGACAAATAAATTTCAAATATTTTTATTAACCCAATAGAAGGCAATTAAGGAGGAAAAGCAGAGCAAAGGAAAGTTAGCTCAAATGAAAACTGATATTTAAGAGTGTAGCTAAAGGCCCAACTCAATTAGTATGGACTAAATACTCCAAGTAAAACAATACAATTGTCAGGACAGATTTTTTTAAAATTATATTCTGTTGACATGAGATACCTTTAAAAAAAAAAAAAGACACAGAGAGATTAAAAAATACAAAAATAAAAAATTTTGGTTTGCTTGTTCTATCAGGTACTGAGAAGGAAAAATACATATCATACACATTCCTTTAAAGTGTACATAGAACATTTACTAAAATTAGCCATAGGCTGGTCATAAAGCAAACTCTAACAAATTTCCATTTAAAATTAAAATCTTAAGACATATGTTCTCTGACCATAGTAGAATTAAGCTATACATCAATACAAAACAAATAAACAAAATCCCTCAATTGTTTGACCATTAAGCAATACAATTCTAAATAACTCTTGGGTCAAAGAAAAAAAGCCTCACAGGATATTAGAAAATGTTGAACTGAATAATGAAGATCCAACATGTCGACATGGTGAAATGCAGCTAAAG